TGTTTTTACGAGAGATGGAGAGTCTGAGCCCTCAGGAGACGACCCGGCGACCCCTTACTTCAAGACTACTGGGGACGATTCAGCTGCGAAATATGGTGCAGAAGCCGACAATGACCGATATCTGGATGCCGATGCCACGCCTCGACCATTGCATACACCATCGCCCCATCCGTACTTGGGTTCTGCCCATTCTCAACCCGACACATAAAGAACCGACACTATCTTACTTTCAAGATAGACCTTGCGGAACTGCAATTCAGTGAGACATGCGTTGGACAGATGTCCACGTACGGTCCGCTATTGTGTGCGACTATATGACTTATATCACTGCATGCTTACGACATATTGTTCTTTTTGCACCTGTTAAAATACATTCCTCTTCTTTTACTGCCGATCATATTGCTTTATTTTCCACGCGCGTTTCAAGGCTAGCGGGTGTTTGGGAGTGTTTGTCGTCTCAACCAGGCTGTCTGAGTTCCACTCTTTTGTCGATTTCCCGTTCTCACTTTCATGTTTTTATTCATTGTTCCACTTGCTCATCATCCATGCGTATATCCCATTTCCTTTGTTCTGAAATTTTCCTCTTCTGAGAGCAAAATTGTGTGTGTACCTATACGTACCAGTTTCTCAAGAAAAAAAAACAGAGTCCATCTAACTGTTTTGCACTAGTAGACATACCAGTCCAAATGTACAAAAATATTTGCATTAATCCTGTTTCATCTTATATACTCCTTTCGACCCGTTGTAAAACGTGATTTGGCTAATTTGCTTCCCCCGTTCTAATTGATCTTTGTCTGATCCACATAGCGGAGAACGGAGTACTAGTTCACTCTAACCCCTCCCTTCCAAAGAGACTCTTCCAACATGCACTCAAAACACCCATCCAACTACCCACCGACTCCTTACATACTGAACACATGCGCTACCATCTTGCCTCTTCGATACACAATCTCAGCGAGAAACTCCAAATAATTATTACTGAACGTACCTCCAGAATTAATGGAGAACCACAAGCCCACCCACACACTCCATTGAGAACAAGCGAGAGAATGTGGGAAAAGAGAACATGTTACGAGTTAGTGTATTTGGGAGTAGATTGTATGAATTGCTTAGTGAGTGGTAATTAGTTTAGCTTGGATAGCTCCCCTCACTAATGATAATTAGACCCGTTGTTGTTGTTGTTGTTGTTGTTGTTGTTGTTGTTGTTGTTGTTGTTGTTGTTGTTGTTTACTATGTACTACTAAAACTGGGTTGTTTTACTGTTGTCGTAGGTGTTATAATTCGGTTGGTTGGTTGGTGGTGGTTGTTCTGGCAGTCAGTTTTGAAGGATAGAAGGGCTCGTAGTAGTATTATGACAGTGCGCTTAGGACTAGAACTACTAAACAATTTTGGCTAAGTAGTGCATATCATTATTGAATCTATATATCGATCGAATACTATGCCACAGAGAAACAAAAATCTGACACCGGCCAGTGCTGATTTGCATACCAGCCACACAACAACATTAGTAGTCTAGTCAACTGAATATTTCGACCAACTAACCGGGACAACGTACTGACAGCTGTCCGTCCAGTTATTGATGCAGAAATAGAAACACAAATGCCACCGTTTGGTATGTACGGAAAGGTATTATCTATAGATAGCTATGCTGATATGATCAGGACAAATCACTCAACAGTATGTAAAAGAGACGACGAGCAAGTGCACAATGGCAGTCATTTCCAGCATGAACACCGCACTGTTGAAATGAGATCATTTCTCGTCCATAGCGGGCGACACGGCGCGGATCTGAGGCGACTGCTGGCCATGGGATTGCCCTTGCTCCAGATCAGCTGGGTCGCGGCTGCTGATGCTGTTGCGATGACGGAAGAATCGGCCGCGACTGACAGAGGACAAACTGTGACCACCCTGGGATTCCATTGACTGGCGACCGGAGCGCGCCGCAGACGGGGCGGCGCTGGTGTTGGAGTGGCTTCGGCGGTGAGAGGTAGATGCACGGCTCTGCCGCTCGGCTTGCTCTTCCTCTTCTTCCTGGATGCGACGCTCCGCGGTTTCACGGTTGGCCATCCGGACAACGTCATCCACACGAGTGCGGCGGTCTTCAAACACATCACCCATAACGTCGCCGGAAGAAACGTCGCGCATGCCCAGAGAGAAGTCAACATGCTTTCGCGTGAGCATCGAGTCACCACGGGCCCGGGCAGCGGCGGCGTCCGCGCCCTTGCGAAGGATAGAATGCTGGCGGACAGAGCTGCTAGTGCCCATATTTTCGGGGAGCGAATCGTGCTGGTGCACAGGGGTGGGAGGAGGCCGGCCATCACTGCTGCCGGGAGGAGCGCCCATGTTATGCGAAGGGAACCCGGCGACATGGAAGGGAATGTCGACACGGGCACCCTGGAGGTTCATGCGTGGGCCTTCGATGCCAATCTCTTGCAAGGCAAGCATCAGCATGCAGATGAACTTATTGCGACGTTGCAAACGCAAGCCCTCATTTTGCCAGTTGGACTTGTAGAAGAAGACAACATTGAGGGTGACTGAGAAGTTTTCAGTCACCTCACGCATCTCAGTGAGGATGTTAGTCTGGAATTCGCGGCGTTCGCTGCGGACAAATTCCAACAACCGTTGGCGAAGACCATCAATTTGCTCGAGTGTCGTGCCATACTTGATGACAATAGGAACAGCCTCGGCCAGGGCACCTGATCTGCGCTGGTTGAGAATGAAGAGACCGTTCAGATAGCTGTTCGGGGCTTGAACAACGTGACCCTGCATCTTCTTGAACTCGGTATACAAGAGGGAAATCTGCTTGACGAAGTAGTCATCACCCAGGCCGGAATCACCTGAGTTACCATAAACTGTTACGCGGTCACCAACATCAAACGGGTGCTTGATGAAGACGAAAATGACCGACTGAAGGAACTCCTGTGCAGTGGCAGAGAATAGCCAAGACAACGCAAGGATACTGGAGCCTGCAGACGTGAGTACGCCGGCAGCCGAGGTGGAAATCAGGGTCAAGAAAACGATCAGGGCAATGACAATCACGAAGAATTCCAGTACGTTGTCAAGTCTTCCGACAACAGAGTCAAGGTCTTTCAAAGACGCAGTGATGGCTTTGCGTTCGCGTCCGATTTCCACGCACACAGACTCCAATTCCTCCATTGAAATATCTCCGTTCATGTCCTTGTCGAACATGGTAAAGGCAGCTTCGGCTTCGTCATTGTTATCAAACGCCTCCTTCAGATCGCCAGAGAAAACGGTCTCAAAGCCATCCCGCACGAGAGTCCGGTAGAGTCGCCGAGCCAAAACCTGGCAACCGCTCGTGGTTCGCAGCAAAGCCAGCACAACCTGGTAAGGGTGGTTGCTGTTGGTAGCCGTACGACCAGTGAAGTCCGCTGCAACTGCACCAGCAACATCACCAACCTTGGTGAAGGCACCCTTAGCAAGACGCCCCGCTTTACCAGCGTAGTGGAACGGGATCTTGAGGCCGTTGTTAGAGCCGGGCTGCTTTTGCTCCTCAAATTCCTTGTCCTTGGCAGTAATTTTCCTCCGCGAGAATTCGTATAGTTTGGTCAAGCTGCCAATCTGGAACTTGTTGATCTCAATTCTATCGGCATAAGTACGTGTGTGGAAGCTGATAGCGATCAGCTGAATAATGAACTTCTCCACCAGGTTGAGGATCGTCCAAACGAAGACGGAAATGATGATCTTGTTGAGCGTGTTTTCCCAGGAGCGCGTCGTATGGTTTCCGTCCACGTGATGATTCTTCATCGTAGGGAGGAAAGAAATTTCGACACCCAACCACCAGAAGAAAAGGGTCGCATGCAGTTCCAATTGCTTGGCAAGATCACGCCATTTCTTTGCATTGTTGGTAAAGATACTGGCGAGCGCATTCACAGGTATAGGTATTAACTTGGAAACAATCTGCCAGGACTCGTATCAGCAACAGGGCAATGGGAAACGGGTGACGATATCAGGGGTACTCACTCTTCCAGCCCACAATGTCAACCAGACAATTTCCAACCAGACAGAAAACCAGACCAACCGGACACCTCCGACACTGGCATCAGGATATGCCAGCGCGCCAACCAACAACGGAATTAATAGGACGATCACAAGGGGCACGATGTAGGTAAGGTAACGGATGATGAAACTAGATTCGTGGAGTTTCTTGACGAATCTGGCAATGTTGGTATTGGGATTCTCGGGTGGGTTGTAGACTGCAGCTTTCTCATGCAGCGGATTAGTGGCCTCATCAAACTCGTCGACATGTTCGTTCGGGCGCGAGCGAGAACGTGAACGAGAGCGGGAGGTGGATGTACGGCCGCCGTTAACACTCTTTTTCGACTCTGCCTCTTGGGTGGAGCGCGAAACCATCCGTTCAGCCTCCATAACTGCCAGGTCGTCTTCTAGACGCGTAGATTCTTCTCTCGCAGTGACAGGAGAACACAGGGCGGTCCTATCCAAGTCATTGTAAGAAGTGTCCACCCTCAGGTGGTGTCCATTACTAGAACTGTCATAGACGTAGGTTCCTTCGTCAGAGTCAGGAGTGCCATCGTCGTATCTGTGCTTGCTCTTCTCTTCCGGATGATCAGGAGAAAGATGCTCTCCCATAGAGGTCGACATGTTGGCACCAGGCCAGGAGTCGAAAGCGAAGAGCTAGATTACAGGCTAACCAGCAGTGGGATTATAGATCGAATTACTCCGGAACAGACTAGATGCTGGGTACGTTAGACGGGAATCGATCAAGAAGAAGCCATGCACAAGCTTAATCACGAGCACATAGTGAAGAATGAAGAATAAAAAAAAGTATAGACAAACGAAGGGAAACACCTGGAAGATAAAAGAGGGTCTGGTGCAAGCGAGAAAGCGCACGAGCAAGGGCGAAGGCTGACCTACACTGGTGGGAATTCCTTCCGAAAACCAGCAAAGCTAATGATGCATTGACTCTGGCCGGTGGCTCAAAAAGGAACGGGAGATAAGCGGGCACTAGTAGGATTGTGCAGATGGAGGAAAAGGAAAAATGCACAGAAGCAAGTAGTAGAGGGAGGAAAGAAGAAAAGGAAGCGTAATGAGTAGAATAGGACAGCGTGTAGGTGGGGAGCCCGTGAAAAGAAAAGAGAGAAAGAAAGAAAGGAAAAGACAGAAGGACAGAAAGGTACAGGACCAAGTGAGACTGGACCTTGGTTCGACAATTCGACAGCAGCAGAGCAGAAGGAGGAGGAGATCGATGCGGGCGAGATGCCGATCGCACGGGACAATTTAACCAACTGGAGATTCAATGACTGAAGTCTGAAGGTTTGGCAAAGTCCAGACCAATTCCATCCTCGAGTCAGACTTCGGTTATACACATGAAGTCTTCCTCCACACCATTTAATCGACACCATCCTATGATGCCTTTTTACAGGGGACAATCGGTAATATCCGTGTTAGATAGACCCTCTACGTGGGAATAATCTCAGCCATCCGCCTTAAACAATGGTGGCCGCGGGTGGCGGTCATTCGACGATCCAAGACCTCGATCGATATGGATCCAAGTATCCAGTGGGCGTGCACTCAGCATCGGTTCTGGCCCAGTGGCACCCAGTGGGTCCGAGTCATCTAACGTTAGAAACTTCAAACGGGTCCAAAGAAAACTCTGGGACCCAGAGTACCCTTCATGCTAACCCAAACTACCTGCGTTAGCTCCTCCATCGTTGCAGCCTTAGTCTGGTGTCTCACAGCGAGACTGCGTTCTCTGAGAAGGGGGGGTCAGCTTGGCATTTCGCGGGATTTGGTCCTGCAGCGAGCTTACAGAGAGGAGAGGGGAGATTATTCGGATTTATGTAGGAAATTCATCTCGCTTTGCAGATGCACAATCCGCGGATTTGATGGGGTGGGAGGTTTCCAGACAGATGTCAAGTCTGGAAAACAGACCAAATGATGTTATCTCATCCAGCGATTATTCTCCGAAAGTCTTGAACACAATAATAAATGTGGAAGACTGGAAGGGCAAAAGTGGCCACCGCCAAGAAACGCCACCTCAGGCACTCCCGGCTGTCCTCCAGCTGTGCACAACGTATTGCACAAAAGTCATCGTGGATTGATTCCTGGGTCAGCACTTACGTCGGAGAACCACATCTCGGAAATATTTTGCCCCCCACTACGCAGAATGCCCATGCTTGTTGCCCGGCCTCTATACAGTTCGTCAACCCCCCGGTTACTGTCCCTGCAGATTGTTGTAATTTGTATCCCGCTACCGTTCCAACTTAAAAGGGATATTATGGTTTGTGAGGCGCGAGTCAGTGCAGTCTATAGCTTTAACACTAGTATATGGCGCTAAGCCTGGAGGATTCCACCATAGACACCATCTGAGTCTTGACGTCTCAAAAACCTGATTTCTACACGCTAGTGTTTTTTCCAAGCAGCCAATCCTTCACTTCAGTCTTAGATGGATGAATGAGACCGCCTCTTATGATAGGTGACAAAGAGGGACGCGGCTAACCTACCGAAAAATTATACCTCCCCAGCATGATATTCGGAATTACAAAGCGCCATCCTGATAGGCTTGTGCATTAGGTAATTGTATGCGCATACTTCGTTATGCTTCTGCTTGCCTCCATCCTCCATTATCTGCCACTTCCACTCACCCCATCACATTTTCAAAGAGCTGATCTCGATTGGGTTATCAGCCCTCGACATAATACCTTTAAGCACGCGAATTCCATTGGCAGGTCCGCTCTCGGTTGTTGACGTGTCTTGCCCCGCCATGTCCACTGAAGATCTCGGCGGTCATCTGCACGGTAGATGGGAAGGCCATGATAACCGTAAATGGAAGCTTATGAATTATGCTTACGAAGCTCGAATCATCGAAGCGCAAGGGCCATCTCGGTTACTCTGTAAACTGTAGTATGGCATCCATCGGTAACGGTTTGCCGTTCTCACAACGACTTGGCCGCATTGGTTCCCATCTACCTGCCGGGTGTTCAAGTGTTCCACAATGCTAAAATACGAACCAAAATTTGTGGTCAGGTCATTGTTGACTAGTAGTCATCGTGCCTGTCTGCCTGTTTTCCGGCTCTTGTTAGTCCATGTAAAATAAACAACATGTAGGTATAGATGCGTAGGCATGGTGTAGGGGCAGAGTGCGGGGAAGATCGACACTAAACAGTTTCAAACTATCTCTTCCATCAGATTTCCATATTGTGCTTACTCGCCCCTCTGATTAGATCTACCGGGTACTCCATACAGCTAAATATTGTAAGGCCAGCAGGGGCATCGCAGCTACCCCTGGTCTGTGCAGGTCAAACCGCTGTCACACATCACGAATCCCAAGGACGGCTTCCCCGCATTCCACGGCAGAGGGCACGTGGAGTATGGAGGATCCCGCTATGACAGGAAAGAGATGTAATAGCTTGGAAAGAACTCCGCAGTTGATAGAGGACAATTTCGTGATTCTCTGGTGTATCGAGGCGCCAAAACATTAGCACCCGGTTCTATGGGAGGGAAAGAGAGAGAGACCAAGTGAAGTTCACGTGCTGATCGACTGATCGGTCGGAAGCAGAAGGGCCGCTGATTGGTCGAAGGAGCCTTGTCTTGTTTATTGGACCGGCAAGAACAACTGATGCTCTCTCTTTCCATCCTCCTTCCTATTGATCCAGTAACTCCCTCATCCTCCATCTCTTTCCTCTCTTCTTCTTCCATCATCCTCTGGGAGTTCAGTCTACTGCTTGTCATCCCAGACTATTGACCATTATCCAGACTTTGCTGAGAGAATCCCTTGCGTTTGTTTACGACGATAATTGGATCCATTCTCCAACATGCGAGGCGAAGTATACCCCCCGTTGTATTTACCTTTGGACCCCCGCACCGTCACCCCCTCCCCTTATCCATAAACAGCCATTCCCACAACCTCACGTACCAGCACTCATTCAACTTCCTCATCCCAGCTTGACTTCCCTTTATTCTAACTATTTCGTTCCATCAGGTCTGCCACATCCACATCGGCCAGGCTGGTATCCAGCTTGGTAACAGTGCTTGGGAGCTGTACGTCCTCACCGCTTTTTATTGTACCCCGATATATATGCCTTCATAGGTGATTTCATGCTGACCGCGGCCATCACCGCAGGTACCTCCTTGAACACGGTCTCAAGGCAGATGGCCAGCTCAATCCTGAGGCTGACGACGCAATCAATTCTGGCGGTTCGTTCGAAACCTTCTTCACCGAAACGCACAGCGGCAAATATGTCCCTCGCTCTATCTTCGTGGATCTTGATCCTTCGGTACGACTTTATCCAATCAAAATGGCTTATTGAATGTATATGGTAAACTGATGGATGCAGCCCGTCGATGAGATCCGCACCGGCCAGTACCGTCAACTCTTCCACCCTGAAACGTTGATTAGCGGAAAGGAAGACGCCGCCAACAACTGTACGAACTACTTCTGGTCGGGCCTGAACATGTAAGCTAATGCTTGTCAGATGCCCGTGGACATTACACCATCGGTAAGGAGCTTGTCGAAGCAGTTGCCGACCGCATTCGTCGTGTCTCCGGTAGGTTAACCACAATCCTCTGAAACCTGACTCTTCGGGAAGTAAGCTTACACACACAAGATAACTGCAACTCCCTGCAGGGATTCTTGGTTTTCCACTCCTTCGGCGGTGGTACCGGCTCCGGATTTGGTGCCTTGCTGCTCGAGCGTCTTTCCACCGATTATGGAAAGAAGTCGAAGCTCGAGTTTGCGGTGTACCCTTCCCCTCGTGTGTCGACCGCCGTCGTTGAGCCATACAACGCTGTTCTCTCTACCCACAGCACGATTGAGAATGCTGACTGCACCTTCTTGGTGGACAATGAGGCGGTTTACGACATCTGTCGCCGCAACTTGGACATCCCACGTCCCGGCTATGAGCACCTCAACCGCCTGATCGCACAGGTCGTCAGCTCCATCACCTCCAGTCTCAGATTCGATGGTGCCCTCAATGTCGACTTGACTGAGTTCCAGACCAACTTGGTACCATTCCCTCGTATTCACTATCCGTTGATCTCGTATGCACCTGTGGTCTCGAGCAGCCGCAGCTCCCACGAGAGCTTTAAGGTGCAGGATCTCACCTTCCAGTGTATGTACTTCTCTTTGGGCCCTTTCGTCTAGGCATCGGTGGTGGTAGATGGCTAACGGTGGCTGCAGGTTTCGAGCCGAACAATCAGATGGTGGTCTGTGATCCTCGCAAGGGCAAGTATATGGCAGTGGCTCTGCTGTACCGCGGTGACGTGGTACCCCGTGACTGCACCCAGGCCATCGCCTCCCTCAAGGCCAAGGCCTCGTTCAATCTCGTTGAATGGTGCCCCACCGGCTTCAAGTTGGGTATCAATTACCAGAAGCCCGTTCGGGTTCCCGACACTGAGCTGGCTCCGGTCGACCGCTCCGTCAGCATGCTCTCAAACACGACCTCCATTGCTGAAGCATGGGGCCGTCTTGACCACAAATTCGACCTCATGTACTCGAAGCGCGCCTTCGTTCACTGGTACGTGGGTGAGGGTATGGAGGAAGGCGAGTTCTCCGAAGCTCGTGAGGACCTGGCTGCGCTGGAGAAGGACTATGAAGAAGTTGCCAATGACAGTCTGGAGCCGGAGGGTGAGGAGGGTGAGTACTGACACCTTTCACTGCCCTAATGGCTTGTACTGCTTTGGTCACTTCGTTTCTTGGTCTGTCTCACTTTGCCGGTCAAATTGTGTCTGCCCCGTCCTTTATGCTTGTGACAACCCCCTTCCTTCTGTTCATGCGTCCCTAGCGTTGTTTGATTTCACTGCTCTTACCTAATAATGAACCGATACATGCGCTGCGGGAGAATATGAACACACGAATTCATCGGTCTTTTGAAAGGACGTGAGAGTGTATTCCACGTGGAAAAGGAAAAAGTCTAGTATTCTATCAGATAATATACACAATCAGGTGGTTGCGAGTGCGCGGGATCCTGTAAGCTCAATCCTCCTTGCTCGTAGCTACCTCCATATCCTGGAGAAGCCGTAAAGAAGTCTCATAGGTCCACATCGTCACCGCACTCGCGGGAGCAGCCTTGAACAAGCTGACCGTCAAGCCCCGATAAAGTCCCCGGATACCCTGTGTCCGTAGGATCAATTTCATCGTATTAAACACACCCTGATACTCAGGAATATTGCGATGAATATATAACTGCCGCGTCGGGCCCTGCACCTGCAACCTCTTCCGAATCAAATCCAACGGAAACATCACCGTCTTCGACGACACACTCGCAATCACACCGGCCGCCGCATCCCCCGATCCAAACGGCAAATCCTGATACTGCGCCAACGGCGGCCTCAACGCCTCATACGTCGCGAAGAACAGTCCCATATACGGGACAATCTGTCCCACCGCCGCACTACACCCCCGAAAAAACCCGGCATACCCTTCATTCCGCGCAATATCCCTCACCGACGACATCAGCGACGTGTACACCCGGTCCGTGCCCTGCGCGGCGAACCGCGTCCTCAGTAGATCCAGTGGGTATGTAGATGCCGTTGCGAGACCTCCGGCTGTGGCGCCCGCGACGAAGGACTCTGCGGATGGTGGAAGACGATAGGTGTCGAGTTGTGCTAGCGCTTGGGTTGTTGTTCGGTATGCGCTGAATTGGATCACCCCGTAGCAGACGTACATTAGTTCGGCGGGGATGTTGCCTTTCCAGAGGCCTGTTATACCCTCTTGACGAATGATGTCTCGCATTGTCGAGAGGGTGCCCTTGTAGATGGGACCGGTTACATCGCGGTGGGAGATGGGGTCCGACAGGGAATGTATTTGTAGCTGCAGGCGGATTTTGACGACGTCGAGGGGGGCGACGCAGAATCTGGATGAGATTGATGGATTAGGTGGTTGTTTGGAGGATTGTTTTAGGGGATATGGGAGTGGGCGCACCGTGATACGAGGCCGGCTATTCCGCCTGCTAGGACGACTTGTCGTCGTGTGCCCTGGATAGTTGTAGAGTTGATTAGCTTGCGCATTTGGATTGAGAATTGAGAGATGGTGCTAGGGGCCTGAGATGTGCATGGCTGGATTGTTGAATGGATGGATGGTCCATGGGGATCTGAGGTGGATGCGTACCTCATCCTTGAGGTGTTCTCCCCCGGCCGACATGCATGTGACGGTGGATGGTTAATGCGAGAGAGATGTAGGTATTTGAAGTAAGATTGATGGTCGCAAGTGATAGCACGTTATGTGAAAGTTGTCATTGATGTGGTTTTCCCTGTGGTGGTGGTGTGTTGTAAGTGGTTGTTTCGCTTATGGCCTTGTAGAAAGGCGACGGGCAAAGAAAAAAAGGGTAAAAATGATGTTAACGCTCTAGAGGTATGACGTGTGTCTGTTGTTGGTTCTTTTCTTTTTTTTCCTGCGGACGGACTTTCGGAGACTTCAAACTGCCGGATTTAGTTCCGTGGATACTTTGTTGACTTTGCTCACACTTGGATTTATCTACTATGCTACTGCTATTTATGCGATGTTAATTTGGCAGCGGGCAATTATGTTCCGTCTGGAACAAGCAACACAAGGGATGGCAAGAATATCTCCTGGTGGATGATGATGCCTGGTGTCTCTGCCTGACTGCCTGACTGCCTGGCCTGTACTTTAAAGCGGCGGCGAGTCAGTGCCCAATCAGGTGCTATCTGAAAAACCTCGGTACAAACAAAGTCGCATCGGATCATAAGTTATTATCTGGGGGATCTCCTGGCGTCCCACTTCTTCCCCAGCTCTCCTTCACCCCCCAACCCTGGAGTCCTTGGATGCGGGCACCTTCAGGCTCTTCATAGCAGGTCTCCTCGCTGCTAGTATCCGCCATGTCTCGTCTGTTGCGAACCGCCTTCCGCCTTCCCCGGGCCTCATTCCCTCCGGCCTCCGTTCTCAGCCGTCGTGTCTATTCGTCCTCTGTCGTTCGTCGCTCAGCAGCTAATGCTATCCCTCCCTCCAACAATGTGGCTCCCACATCAAGTGATGCTGCTCCCACAGCTAGCAGTGTTGCCTCCGCAGCCAGCATTGCGGCCGCCGAACCGAGTGCATCACATGAAATAGCAGATGCAAGCAATGATCCTGCATCATCGCAGTCCAATCAATCCTCACCTCCGGAAGCAGGTGATCAACACGACGATAAGACCCAGACAACGAGCGCCGGGACAGTGGAATATCAGGATGATAAATACACAATTAGACGCAAAGAAGGAGGCCTAGTCATCGAAGAAGGTCGCAAACGCCCCATTGAAATCCTAGACATCATCCTTCGCGACTCCTGCAAATGCTCTTCCTGCGTGGACCCTCACTCCAAGCAACGCAATTTCCGCACGAGCGACATATCCTCCGACATCATCTCCGAGAACCCTACCATCAAGCACGGAAAGCTGCACGTAACATGGAAGAACGACTTCCGCGGCGCTCCCGCCGAATCCGCACACGAGTCCACATACGATCTCCGCCAGCTCCGACACCCCATCATCTCCCCCGTGGAAATGGAGTCCGCGGGCAAAAACCGCTGGCGAGCATATTGGGACAACAGCCGCATGCAACACTGGCAGCACTGGATCACCTACGACCAGTTCATCAACAACGACATCTCCTTCGCGTGGTCCATGCGTACCCTCGCCGAACTCGGCCTCATCTTCATCAAAGACATCCCAGACTCGCGCGAAATGGTCGAGAAGATCGCCACCCGCATGGGTCCCATCCGCGATACCTTCTACGGCCGCACCTGGGACGTGCGCAGCATCCCCCAAGCCACCAACGTCGCCTACACAGACCAGTTCCTCGGCTTCCACATGGACCTGATGTACATGAACGACCCACCCGGCTACCAGCTTCTGCACTGTCTCCAGAACTCCTGCGAGGGAGGCGAATCCCTCTTCGTCGACACCTTCCGCGTAGCATACGACATGAAACAGGACGACCACAAAAACTACTCCCGTCTCCTTCATCATCACATCCCCTACCACTACAACCACCCGGACCACTTCTACACGAATTCTTGGCCTGTCTTCGAAACAGAGACCTTTGATAACAGCGTCACGGAGGGAACTAATTTCTCTAAATCCCGTCTCGTTCACGTCAATTATTCGCCTCCGTTCCAGGCACCCAGGAAGGTGCAGTCTCCTGTGCCCCGCAAGTTCCGCGAGAAGAATGAGGCTCTCGCTAAGTTCGCTTCTCTGCTGGAGGACGAACGATATATGTTCGAGCTGAAGTTGAACCCTGGTGAATGTGTTGTCTTCGAGAATCGCCGTGTGGCGCACGCGCGTCGTGGGTTCAAGACTAGTACTGGTGAGAGGTGGTTGGCTGGTGCGTATGTGGATGAGGATGCTATGTTGTCTGGGTTTAAGACTTCGTCGAATAAGTATCCGAATTTGTGGAGGCTGAAGCGGAAGGGACTGAATAGTAAACATGTGAAGATGTTGAAGGGGGTGAATAAGCCGGATGAGCTGCCCTAGATTTTGACTTATTTAGGGTGGGGATAGCGAGAGGGAAGCAGATATCCATTGTTAATGATACGAAGAGAGGAAGATGTATCATACACGTTTTGTACGTACTGCATACAGCTGTGACCTGAGGGTCCGATACATGAATACTATACATAGTCATACGAAGTGGTGTTGAATGAGTCAATCAAATAATAAATGGTCTTTTATTTAGTAGGTTTTATAGTAGGTTTTATATAAAGGGCGACGCAATTCCCATGGCACTCATGGGTATAGATATCATCCAGTCAAGTACTATGTAATCAGCGAATAAATTATAGACACAGGAAAGAAGGAGCAAGACGCCGCTAGATCTCAAGCTCTAACCATTGAGAGTTGGAAAGACAAACGTGAAAAATGAAAGGTAGAGAAACTGGGTACCCAATACGGACAAAGCCGCGGTATTATTCGACTTAAAATTCTATAGCCTAGGCAGCGGGCTTGTTAACGGAGAAGCGGTCCAGGAATTCGGGATCGTTCTCAAGTTCCTCCTTGACCTATTTAGAAACATCACGTTAGTACTGCAGACAAACCATGAAAGGTAAAGGGACGGAAGGAGGGGCCTTACAATATCCAATCCACCAACCAACTCACCCTCCACCCACAACTGCGGGAAGGTAGGCCAATCCGCAAACTCCTTCAAGCCCTGTCTCACATCCTCATCGGCCAAGATGTTGAAGAATCCGTACTTGACGCTCCGCTCACGCAGAATGCCCACGATCTGCCGACTGAATCCACACTGAGGCGCACTGGGAGATCCCTTCATGAACAACATCACCGGCGCAGCCTTCACCAACTCCGCGAGACGCGCAAACAGCGCCTCCTTCGACTGTTCGGGGGTCAATGCGGGGGCAGCTGCGTTGCCGTTCGTGGCGGGCGCCTGTGTAGCGGTGGCGGGAACGTTCTCTCGAGGCACGGCTGTCAATGGTGGGGGGATCACGGTCTTGGGAGCACCGTCTGCAGAGGCGGCGGCAGCGGCACCGGCGTGGCGCTCAACGGCATCGCGCACTTGGATTGCTTCACTGCCGCTAATGGTTTCGAGAATCTTGTTGTCCCGGACGAGGACTACGAAGGGAACAGCGGTGACATTGTACTCTTCCGAGATATCAGGGAGCTCCTCGGCGTTAACGCTGAGGAAGGCGATGGAGGGAGGGTTGGTCGCGGGGTACTGGGAGGCGAGGGCGGAGATGACGGCGCGCATTTGGGCGCAAGGAGCAGCCCAGGGGGCGTGGAAGTAGAGAACCTGTAGGCATGACGGGGGAATGGAGGAGATGATGTTAGGGAATTCGGCCTCAGAGGCGACTTCAACGAGGGAGGACATGGTGATAGTTCGGTTGGGTTACTGAGGTGGGGTTTCGGCGGGGAAAACTTGGCGTCTAATGTGACGATGGGAGGAAGAAGATTATGAGAAGGATGAGTGGAGTTGGTAGGGAAGGCAGGTAAAGTTGGGAGCGGAGGAGGATCAGGGAGGGAAGAAGACAAGAGGCAGAGGGGAAAGAGTCACAAAGTGCCCCACGGTGTGGCCGAGATGGAGGGAAGATGGAGAGGAGCAGAGGAAGATGGCTGGCCGATGGCGAATTTTTGGCCGCTTATCAGATCGAACCATCGGGGCCGTTTGTAATACACGGTCCTTACCCGCTTTCTGCTCTGCGATCTTCGGCGTAAGACGGAGACGCGGTGGCTCCGATGGTGTGTCAGCAACAAGATGCTGCCATGAGTGCTAGCAATCACTCTGTGGCGAATGCGCTTGACGCTATAGGCGCTGTATTCCGCTATCTAACTTCATTAATCTATGTTGATTGTTCTTGCAGCATCTGAACGCAGGAACATGCTGCTCCGTTGATAGGCGGGCTAGCCCTGCATGCTATCCGTACTGTACGGTAACCAGATAGATTATCATCACGTGCCTCAAAAGTCGGCGGGATTCTGCGTCGCGCGACCTCTGTCGATCTTCTGGTCGCCAATTTCCCATCCTTGCCTAGACCTGCCTGTAACTGTCTGAGTTGGCATTGCGATATCGGAAGCACGCTGAGTGTTTCTGGTCGATTCTTCTGCAGCTAGCAGGCCTTCCGAGCCCCCGATCCTGTCGTGATTTGCTCTTTGCCGCCCCGGTCGTCGCCCTAAACATCATGGGAGGAAACAAGCGCAAGCGCACAGAGGCTGGATGTTCAGATGACGAAGATCCAGTAAGAAACAGCTCAGATGCGAATAGCTTTGGCGTTGCTCAAACGCTTTCGCTCCTAAACTCGGGCAAGACAAAGTCTCAGAACGATATCGACTCGGAAGAACCTGGGAAGGCGCAGGATGATATGCCGAAGGAAAGAGCTTCGAAGAAGAAGCGCGTGGATGGGGAGAAGACAAAATACCCCGTCCTTACCTATGTTGAAGGAAAATTGCAATCATCCATCCGGATCTCCGATCTCCAGAGTCTGCTACTCTACTGCTTTGCTGATGGCGTCGCGCCGCAGTGGATCTCAATCAAACACTCTGGTCATGTTAGGAAGATTGTCGTGCTGATGGTGCCTGGTCTGGAACTGGGCATGTTCGATGGTTCACTTCCTTTGGATGCAGATTCTGTTACTGAGAAGGAGACGGAAGAACCTGCCGGTGCGGGCAAGGCAATGGAGGAGGATACAAAAGCGGAAGAATTTGCTCGCTGGAAGCAAGGCTTGCCGCTGGAGGACCGGTCACATCGGTTCAATCCTCGCCCTCTTTCGCGTGGTGACCTTCCGGCTCCCCTACAACCGCTAGCGGACATGTTTCCTCACGCCTGGCCCGTAAAAGCCCCCGGTGATTCCAAGTACAACAAGATCCACTCTCCACTTCAAGCCATACTTCTATCTGCTCTACCGAAGGGCAAGGACAGTAACACGAAGGGAGTAAAACCTCCCAAGGTGGACAAGAGTATCGCCTTCCAGCGTACACCAATCACCACTTTTATCAGTTCCCTGGAAGATCTCCGGGAGAATGACTATGTGCTTCATCCGGCTCTGCTCGCCACAGAACAAGAGAAGTCGACTTTGTTGGAAAACCGTAAGCGGGCCGGACATTCCAAGGAAGATGGATGGGTAGATACTCACGTCGAGAGCTTGGAGGCTGGTCAGGTACCAGACTCTGAAATCCAGCAAGGCAGCATGACCGCAGGCCGGGATGTGCTAGCGTTGGATTGCGAGATGTGCATAACTGAAGGTGGCCAATCCGAGCTCACGCGCATTAGCATGGTCCGCTGGGATGGTGAAGTCGTACTAGATGAGTTGGTGAAACCCCAGCGACCTATCATCGACTATTTGACTCGTTTCTCCGGTATCACGAAAGAATTACTCGATCCTGTCACCACCACCCTTGCCGATGTCCAGCAGAAGCTTCTCTCCCTCCTTACTCCTCGTACCATTCTCGTCGGCCACTCTCTCAATTCCGATTTTAACGCCCTGAAACTCACTCACCCGTTTATTGTCGACACCACATTTATTTACCCCCATCCCCGCGGGCCGCCGCTCAAGTGCAGTTTGAGATGGCTCACCCAGAAGTATCTCGGAAAAGAGATCCAGAAGGGCCAGACCGGCCATGACTCGATCGAAGATGCGCGCGCAGTGCTCGAACTTGTGAAGCAGAAGTGCGAAAAGGGTGAGCGCTGGGGCACCAGTGAGGCATCGAACGAGAGTATTTTCAAGCGCCTCGCACGCTCCATGCGTTCGGGGAAATCGGCCACCAACGAAGGCCGCACCGGCGCTGTTGTCGACTGGGGCAACCCCGAGCGCGGCTTTGGGTCGCAGGCGACTGCGTCGATCGGGTGCAGCAACGACACCGATGTAGTAAATGGCATCTCGAAGGTAGTCAACGGCGACGACAGCAACCCCTCCATTCCCGGAGGTGGTGTTGACTTCACATGGGCTAGGTTGCGTGAGCTTGAAGTTTATCGCGGCTGGTGCAATCGGATGCCCGACCCCAACAACGCCAACGAGTCGACGACGCTCGTTCCCCCTCCTGAAGAAACGACTCCGACATCCGCCGCCGTCTCCCCCACCAAAGAAGCCACTCGCAACCTCGCCGACACCGTCTCTCGTACCGTCTCCAACATCCACCAAATCTACCAATCCCTCCCACCTTGCACGTTATTCCTTGTCTACTCTGGTACCGGAGATCCCCGCGAAGTCAGCCGCCTCCAAGCCATGCACAAGACCTTCCGCGAAGAATTTAACTCCCGCAAACCGTGGGATGAGCTGACCGTCAAATGGACCGATACTGAGGAGCAGGCGCTCAAGAAGGCCTGTGAGCGAGCCAGAGAAGGCTGCGGGTTCATGTGTGTGAAGTAATAAACATCTTACCTTTTTTTCTTCTTATTACGTCAATTATTTTTTGCTCTTCCGTACGGGACTGTGTTTTTGACCAGGCAGCAGACCGGGTTCAGGATACAGGTCCTGGTGGTTTGGTTCGCTTATTGGGAATGCCTTTCGAGGCTTCTTGCGGAGGTTCCCCATGCTTTGAACTCTAGATTATGGGTATGCGAGCCGCGCTTCCGACCAAAAACTACTCGCCTACTACCTAACTGCCTAGTATCTACATTCTATCACGAACAAAAAGGCACAGGACATACTGAAGCGATCTCAAAATCGGACATTTTTGAATTGGTTGGTTAAAATTGGGCTGAACCACATCCAGTGTGGGGATATCATTGTGCGGAAAGCTAGACTGGCAATCTCAGCCCAGTGGGGAAATGTATCAAAGGGGGGCGCCATGAAAGAGCTAGTAAATAGTAAGGCTGCGGGTGATCCCTATAGAGACCTGTGTAGGGAAAAAAGAAAAGAAAGGGGGCCACTTTTTGTACAAACACATGAAAGAAGAAAAGAGAAGGGACGTCACATCACCCAAGGATAGAATATAGATAATACATTTGATAGAAAGAAGGATGAAAGGAATAATAAAGTGAGCGGATCAGTCTAGCTTGCTTGCTTTTGTGTATCAAAACAGAAGACTATACGTTCTTGTTTTAAAAATCCCACTCAACTCGCTCTCACCGCGAATCCTCAGTCTCCATTGCTTCCTCGCGCTGCATAGCTAATCGTACCATGATATCTCGCGCTGCGGACTGTGCTTTGCGTTTCTCTCGTATATCGGGCTTGTGCACTCCGTTTGCGCCGCCATGCGAGTTTTCTTTGCCCGTGTGTAGTGGGGGCGTTGGCTGTTGCTGTTGTTGTCGCTGTTCAGTCTGGTCTGGTACGTCGTCCCCGTTCTGAAACCCATTCTGTGTTTGCTCTGGCTCCGAAGGACGTGTGTCGGCATTAGCTGCGGCGGATTGGCGCCGTGACGGGGGCCGAGACCTACTGCGCAGGCTTCGCGAGTGAGCGGGTCGGTTCTCTTTTGTAGTGCGGGTATCGCTGGGACTGGAATCGGTGAATTGGGTGTCTTTGTGCGTGTTGCCGTTTTGCTCGGTCAGTGCGATGGGGTTTGGGCTTTCATTGTTCGCGATGTTGGTGGGAATGTCTGGTTTAGCGGTTTGGCTGAATGATTTGCGCGAGGGTCGGCCGGGTCTGCGTCCAGTGGTTGGGGGTTTATCTGTTGATTGAGATAGGCGGGGACGTTTTACTATGGCTTCTCGGTGGGAGGTGGCGGAGTTGTTACTGTTGTCGTGGTGATGGTTGTCGTCAAGGTCGTTTCCGTGGTTGGGGGTTTGTTGCTGCTGCTGTTGTTGTCGTTGCGAGGGGTTGACTTCGATGTGGAGTTTGGGGGAGCCTGATGGTGTAGGCTCTTGGGTTGTTTTGTCTGTTGTGGACATGGATGTGGAGTCCTTCAGTGGAATTTTGACTGGAGGTAGGCTGGCATCTTCTAGCGAGAAGTCTGCGATGCTGTCTGAAGAGTCGTCGTCGAACGAATCTCTTATTGGGTGGGTGCGTCCGCTCGGAAATGAATCTGGCCAGGGCCGCTTCCGACTCCCCTGTAATAGGCCTGGACTTCGGACTTCTGCAAGGACTGTTGTGTCGGCGTATAACGGTGGCGGTGGCGGCGGTTGTACTTGTTTTAAGGTTTGTTCTTCCGCGTAGCGATTCTTCAACTTGAGTGCTTCGTTTTCGAGCTTCAGTCGTTCGATCTCATCGGCTTTGGATCTGAGTTCCTTCAACACTGTTGCAATCATCATGTCCTTGCTGGCGGGGGTGCCCATATCAGATGTGAATCGACCTGGGCCGTTCAATTCGATGCGCAGCGCGGTGAATGCGTTCTTCAACTCGGACATGGTATCGTGAAGGTTGCTGACAGAACTTGTGATGTGATCGAGGCTCAGCCCTTGGTGCTGGATCTGTTGTTCCATAGACATGTTGTAGGGGTCTAGCTCCGTCGATGTAGTGGGTACCAGGGCCCCGGCATGGACTGGGGTTCGGTCTTGTCGGGAGGGAGGAGTCGGACAGAGGATGCGTTCGAGCGATCCATCCTTGAATACGGGCTCTACTGTGCGCATGGTAACAATTTCCCGGAACGACACCTTCGATAGCTTCCAGAAGATATTGGGGCTGCTTCCGTGTTAGTCGAGAAACGTGAGACAGATGCCTTCCAGAATAATCCCCCCACTTACCCATTGTCTAGAGAGCAGAGCACGCCCAACTTCTGTTGACAGAGCTTACAGGAGATTTCCTGGAGGATCCGGCCTCGTAGGGTACTCAGCTCTGATGATTGCGGGATCTGCTTCTTCTCTGAGGAGATGGAAATGCGATGCAGCTCAACGCTCAGCCATCCAGCCACTATGGAGTAAGAATTCGAAAGTTTAGCCCACTCGTTCTCCAGCGCAGCCAGCGAACTCGAGCATCGCGAGCACTGGCAGAGGATTGCGGGGCGGGTAAGCCGAGACAGATCCATGGCGGTGGACATGACGGGGAGGCGCGTTGGAACTCAGGCCTTGAAAGAGCGTCTGGCCGTGAGCCCGCGTGAAGTTGCGAGATGGACCAAAGTCAGGGCGCAAACCTGCCCGCAAAAGTCCAGAGGGATCTCGACTGCTGACTCAGCCGTCAATGGAGACACGTTGGCGGGTCGACCATTCCCGATTAGGCTATCGATAAGGGCCGCACGCGTTTCACTGTCGTCATACCCGGCCCTCCGTGTTTCCCGTTCAGTGGCTGGGCCCGGCTTCCGTTCCCCTCCGTGTATGTATCTTTACGTATGTTACCGTGATGCTTCTCCTGATCAGCCCAACTAGATATAGCCTCAGCTACTTACTTCAATACCTATACACTTGGCATTGCTGTCAAGAATGCAGTCCATTGAGAATGATAGAATCTCTAAAAAAAAAAAAAAAAAAAAAAAGATCTCGATCGTGCAATAATTGTGTCACAATGCATGGCCTTCTGCTTTTTAATACTTGGTGTATGGAGGAGAGCACTGGCCTTTATCTTCCGTCACAGCCAGATATGCAGGTAAGACTTTTGACAGTCCTCCCAATTAAATTCCGTACTAAAAAGTCTGTTTAGTTTTAGTGTTGAACTAACTACTACCTAGATGCAGGCTTCCAGATATCTACAAACCAGCACACATGTCAATCTCTTGTTTCTGTTCCTCTCCTGCTCATTAGTTATCCTTGACCATGCCTTGGTCAGATCACAAGTCTGCTCGGATATCCCCCATCGGAGAAGTTTAATATCCAGAAGAGTATGAACTATAATTGTCTTCATCTGCAGAAAACAAGCCAGTAGCCTTGACATGCGGCTTTTTTGGCTAGCATTGTCTGGGTTCATATGATTCTTCTCAATGAGCGCGTAGTTATTCATCGCACCTCGGCTTAAATGGGAGGGAACCAGGTCTCACTATCATTCTTTGCCTGTATTGAAAATGTTGAAAGTGGGACATGGCTTCGTGGAGCTTTGTTTTAGAAAACTATAAAAGGTTAAGTGGAACTGTAAGGTTTACTTGGTGAAGTAGGTGTCGAAGGTGTTAAGATTAGCGGTCGATGTAAGCTGCTGAATCTGCTAGGTTTCATCTAAGTTCATAGTCCCAAACGCATCCTTTAAGCTGTGGTGGTGCTCAAGACTAGATAAGTCAATACTAGAGAAGAACGCTTCTACTTCAAAAATTGATCATGAGAGGAACTAGGCCGAATCGAGTATGAACCATGCACCGCCGGGGTCCATCTCATTGTCGAATCACAGCCCTCCGGAGAATCTCCTCATTGTTCCTATCGGTGATTAGTCACTTTTTGCTTCCCCTCGGAATGTCCCCCGCATGCCCGTAAGATTAATAGTTAATTCGTTGCCGCTGCCTACTTGCTTTTGCCTTAGCCCTGTTATCATTTCAGTTTTGAGGCTCGATGGGATCCTTGGCCCGCTATTCTCTTCGATCCTTGTTTCCTTTAAGACCCTCCTTCCCAGTCCCAAGATCCGCATACCGTTCCAGGATCGCCATGGCTAGCGTATCAACAGCTTCCAATGGGAGCAGACCCAGCACGTGGCAGGGCGCTGGGGCAGCTGAGTTTGACCTGAGAAGTGAGTATGACTCATAGCAGAAGAATGCTGCCATCGTGACGTCCGCTTTTGCTGAGAATCATGTGTCGTAAGGTGATACAATGACCAAGCCAACTCCGGCAATGCTCGAGGCTATCTGCCAGACCACACTTCTTGACGATGTCTTCGGTGAAGACCCAGTGACAAATGATCTTGAAGCTTATGTGGCAGAGCGTACTCAACATGAAAGCGCTCTCTTGGTCATGTCTGGCACAATGGGCAACCAGGTTGCCATCCGCACGCACCTGAAGGAACCGCCTTATTCTGTCTTGTGCGATCATCGGTCTCATATCATCTGTTACGAGGCTGGTGGAGTAAGCTCCCTCACGGGCGCTACGGTCATGCCCGTCACCCCGAAGAATGGTGTTCACCTTACTTTGGAGGATATAAAGAAACATGCGGTACTCAGCGATAACATCCACTACTGTCCTACGAAGCTCATCAGTCTTGAGAACACGTTGGATGGGATGGTTATGCCACTTTCTGAGGCTCGGCGTATCACTGAATGGGCCCATCAAAACAACATCAAGGTCCATCTGGATGGTGCGAGACTTTGGGAAGCAGTGGTGTCCGGTGCCGGTAGTTTGCCTGACTACACTACTTTGTTCGATAGCGTAAGCCTATGTTTCTCGAAGGGCTTAGGTGCCCCCATTGGAAGTATTATTGTTGGCTCGAACGAGTTCATCAAGAAAGCTCGATGGTTTCGCAAATCCATCGGTGGTGGTGTACGTCAAGCTGGAGTCATCTCTGCGGCGGCCCGCGTCGCGGTTGAGGAGACATTTGGACCAGACCCCAATGGACAGCAAGGGAAGCTTCTAGGGTCTCATCAGAGAGCAAAGAAGGTTGCCGATATGTGGACTAGCCGTGGAGGCAAGCTATCTCACCCGGTACAGACCAACATGGTGTGGTTGGACGTCGAGGGGTCGGGCTTGGGGCCTGATGACCTGGCTGAGATCGGACGTGAAAAGGGGTTGAAGCTTGGGGGTAGTCGCATTGTCGTCCACTACCGTAAGTATCCCTTTCCCATGCGAACTACTCTCTCCTAATCAATCTAACATGACTGCAGAGGTATCCGAAGAGTCCCTCTCTCGACTCGAGCAGGTGTTTGAGGCAGCTATGAACAAGAAAGCTTGAGCGTAGTACTGACTAAAGTAATCATACGGTAGTCGCTGAATAATAGCTCTAGTGGATATAGGATAGACCCGACCTGAATCACTAGGAAGTAAATCGATCTGAAGTCGAGTGTCACGCGTTGGATCCACGGATTCATTAGATGCGGTGTGTTCCGCCCGCCTATGCGCAAGGCGCACTCTTATTGGCTCAGGTGTGGCCGTCCGGGGTTCTGCCTTGTTGGTGCCTGGGGCTCTGCTGGACTTTCAAATTAAAGAGCTGCGGTTTACCACCCCAGCCTTGCTGCTGCATGTTTCTCGGACGACGACTCCTGTCGGACAGTCTCTCGTCTCGTCTCCGTCCCTGGCTCCACCTTTCATGCTCCCTCTATCGCATCTCCAGAGCCTGGCAATGCAGTAGATAGTTGGTGGAGACTTTGCTAGCTGTGTGAGTCTAACTTTCCGTTCTCTGTGCACTGTTGTTTGTTACATGGGCATCCTTGACTGATACCTGAACTTGCTATAGAAATACGCTTGGTGTCCCTCACAAAGCCCCTTCGACAAATTCCCCTTTCGCTCCTTGCTTCAATGGTCCAACACTACGAATTCCTGAGCAGTTTAGGTCCCAATCTGGTTGGCTTTCAAGCCTGGGGCTATCCATCACGACTGAGATACTTTTAAGACCTCGCTGCCTATCGCTGGAAGGCACACTGTATAAAGTTTTGTTTGGTACATTTACTGGCCCTCGTTCCTGCCAGATTATTATCGCATACACCAGGCCTTGGATAATTTGGGTGTGATATCGGGGTGCGCTCTCTTAAGGTTGCTGGAACATCGCGCGGGCTGGTGCTGTCGTTTGGTTGCTCGCCAGGTAAGGTCTTTCATACCTTCCTGCATCGCTGCAAGAATTGTTCAGACATACAAACGAACAATCTTAAAATCCTAGCAAGGCTTATACTTCCAATAGGTCTATGATATGGAGTCCTGTTGATCATCGCCTTGGTTACGCATAGTCCTATTCCCATTTCTCTACTCGCAACCCCTGCACATATACCCTTCAGTGTTTGTCTTGTCAAATAGTTTGCTCCTACTTTTTTTGCATTTTTTTTTTTTCTTTCTTTACAATATTCTTTCATTTCCCGGCAGTCGCACTGGTTTTGTCAGCCCTCGACGTCATCATCAATATCCGTGCAGATGGAGGCGACCCAGGAGTCCACCCAGCCATGCACGGACCCTCGCCGCATGGGCTACAACAATTCGGCCCTCCACGAGGATGATCTGACGGACATTGTTTGTATCTTACACCCAAATTCACCTGCAGCCCATGATGCTGTAGCCGCAACTGCGCGCCACGCCCCGCAGCACATCCTACAAAGGGATGCGCTAGAATATGAATGTTCAGATACCGCAGCTTTGGACTTCGCTCTTAGACTGTCATCAGATGTGCATGACGCAAACACGGGCTTTTGCTTCGGACGGAACAGGGCTCGCTGCGATCTTCTCATTGCTGATGCTAATTCGAAACGTATTTCGAACACGCACTTCCGCATCTATCTCACGCAAGATGGGATCATAATGCTGGAGGACACCTCCACCAATGGAACGATTGTAGACAACTGCCGTCTTCGCAAGATTCAACGTGAGAAGAGCCGCATGCTAGTCAATGGTTCCGTCATTCAGGTGCCGAATGGTGAGGGCCAGTCTTCGGAGGAAGTCAGATTTATCGTGCGCCTGCCATCCCGGGAAGGCTTTGTCATGCAGTACACCGAAAATATGCTTCGCTACTTCGAAAAGATTGAGACGCAAAGAGCAGGTGCGGCGCAGCCCAGAGCTCGTACAACCCCCGCGCCCGCTCTGCAGATCGCTTCACCAAATACGTACGGCATGCACTGGTCTGGCGGAGCAATCTACAACGTGACGGGGCAAATAGGCAAGGGAGCCTTTGCAACGGTCTACAAACTCGCTACAAAGCAGCATGGTTCTGTGTATGCAGCTAAAGAACTCGACAAGCGCCGCTGGATGAAAAATGGCATACTCGACAAGAAGGTTGACAATGAAATGAAGATTATGAAAGATCTGAAACACGTGAGTAATCACATCAAATAAAGTTGTGGACTTTCCTGTTAACATTAATACCTTTCAGCCCAATATCGTCCAATACGTCGACCATCACGAACACGACAGATGGATATACATCATCATGGAGTACGTTCCCGGTGGAGAGCTGTCCACATACTTGCAGTCGCATGGCAGGATCGCAGAGCCCCAGGTTAGGACTATGGCGCGACAAATCTTGCATGCACTCCACTATCTACATAAACGGAAGATCACGCATCGGGATATCAAGCCAGACAATATCTTGATCTCGTCTCTTGATCCCCTACGGGTGAAATTGTCGGACTTTGGTCTTTCAAAAGTAGTCCAGGAAGAGACTTTTCTGAGGACGTTCTGTGGAACTTTGCTGTACTGCGCCCCGGAAGTCTATCCCGAGTATGACACTTACCGGCGTGGTGAGGTTCGGAAACGGCGCAGGCTGGGTGATCCGTGAGTTCCTAATACCATATGCTCTGCCGAAACTGTACTGACCATTAGACCTCCAAAAACGTCCCCTTACGATCAATCCGTTGACATGTGGTCGCTTGGAGCCGTTCTATTTCACCTTCTTTCGGGAGTCCCTCCTTTCGCTCCTCGAGGAGATGATCGTGGTGCTCAGATGCTGCGAATCATCATGACTGAGGATGCCGATTATAGTGAACTTCGCAAGGCAGGCGTCTCTGAGGATGGGATAGACTTGGTCGCTCGACTCCTGAATCGTGACCCCCAGTCTCGCCCGAACGAACGAGAATGTTTTAGGCACCCGTGGATTGCAGGAGTTGCGGACATTGACGAATATGATGACGAGGACTTGTTTTTGGGTGTCCCAGATGAGCTTTCTGATATAGGCGAGGATGTCGAGGACGAAATAGACGCCTCCCAACTGTCTTTGAATGATAAGCCGGCAGCAGAAGTCGCGGCTGAGGAGGAGGACGAACTGGCCCAGGCCAAGAAAATCAAGCTTGAATATCCTCCGGAGGAAATTCGTTATCCGTCGCTCCCCAGTCTCGACAGTTTCCAGGCTGTTCAACCAATTTCCCAGTCAACTCCTAAACGACTTTTTGGTGAGATTACGCCATCGATACTACGAAGTTCTCACGCGTTGGGCGACAAAATTGATGCATTTGAGGGGGACGACTTTGGCCTCCATGACTTCGTTTCTTCCACTGGTGAGTCGATTATCAGCGACGGCAACAGCCTGAACTCCATCCTCTCCCTGCCGGAAAACCCCGTCGCCGGGTCTGCACCTAGCTTAATGGGAGCTGAGAACCTTGTTGGGCAGCTGAACATGAACTCGTCGCACCCTGGCTTGAACAACATTCCCCGTCACGTCGAGGCGCCGGGGCCGCAAACTAGCATGGCCGCGGAAGTCCCGAAGGACAAGGCCCCAGAAGTACCCCCGCAGACCACTATCGATGATGAAACCCCCAAGGCTTCAAAATTTAGCCGGCGGATTGAGCTCCCTATACCTGATACTGCCAGTGAGCGTTCGAGTCCTGAAGCGACAACGGGGAAGACCAACGACAGGTGTGCTGAGCCCGAAGCTGCCCCTGAAGAGGTCTTCGACATTGAGTTGGCGAATACTATCGATGCCAAAACCGGACTGCGACTTCCTGACTTGCCGAAAAGGGAAGACAATCAGCCTTCCCCACAGCCTGCATCCGACCAGACACCAAGCCCAATCCTCAATATCGCGGCGCAGCCTAGCAAAACATGCCCCCTCCTTGGAAAGCTGACCACTCTCCCAGGGTCCATCTTTGAGCTCACAATTCCGTTGGAAGCTCGGATGACATCCTGGGGCCGCGGCCCCCAAGCAACCATATGCTATCCCGAGCCGATGGATACGCGGATACCTGCGTATGCATTGGAGGTTACCTTCTGGGCTCCAGCCATCGAAACCAAAATTGCCGCTGGACACGATTGGATGACTGTCCCCGGCGTGATGGCTATTCTCTCAACCAAAACCCGAAAATGTATCTGGGTCAATGGAACTGAGCTGCGACGCGGGCCCGAGAACGACAATGGTGGGGAGGGCTTCCATTTCGGTAAACTGTATACCGGCGATGTCATTACCGTCTATCAGCATCGGAACAAGTTTTTAAAGTTCGCGTGCGAATTCTACCATGGAGACAGTGCGCGCTCGCGTCCCGATGAGGAGAAAGGCTTCACCGTGCGCAAAGTCCTGATGCCCAAGGAGAAGGCTGCCAACCGACAACCTATGCGGAAAACACCGCATGGGAAGAAGTAGGCGTCGATATGGTGGCAGTCGGTTCGCTGACTCAGTTGAAAGTGGCTATGAGGTATGGTGTAAGGTCCCTGGTGTGGAATGGAGTTGTATGTATCTCTTATGTATGGGTTGCATCTTCGTTTGGTCTTGGGGGTACAAATGGGGTGGCTCAGTAATGATTTTGGCGTTGGTTGCATATACCTAATGATCTGGATAAGGTAGGGGCAAGAGGAGGACAAAAAAAGGAAAAAAGGCTACTCTCGTCAATGCATGTACGATCATCAATTGCATGGATATTTATCAATGAATACCAACAACAATTTTCTACTCGTTCACCTAGCATACGTCTGAGACAAACCATTAGAATATATAGAATATATGAAGTGACAAATTGCCATTGTCCATCCCAGTCCCGTCTGATACCTTGGTTTAATAGTATCGCCTTGTGCAGAGGACTACTTGGAGTAAATAACGAGCTGTTGCTACGTGGCTGGTATTAGATAGCACCCCCGTCATGAGTTGTTCACGCCTCAGGGTACATACTAAGAATCTGATTATTGGGTATTTCGACGATCTTAGAGCTCTGATTAAAAAGAGAAATTATTTGTATCTGAGACATGACTTTGTTGTCTACATTCAAACTCAGTCAGGCTAGAATATTCTCTATTCTAGTTAATCTGCTCTCTATCCCTAAGGAGACACAATAGCGAAATACAATCTACCCTTGCGACTCATCCTTCTGTCCTTAAGCATAGGCCACTGCGTATCATGGTCATGGACAACCGCCAGGAATAGCAATCCCAGGGGGGTCGCACGAGTTATGTTTGCCCTCGAAGTAACAGCCACCTGACATAGAATGGAGATCAGTTAAGCCGAGTTTCCCAGAGGTGGTAGAGTAAAGATCCAGAGATGTGAAAAGACACACCATTTCCTTGACAATAACAGTAGTTGCCAATGTCATTATCAGGATCTGCTCTATAAGAAACTTAGCATTAACTTCGAAATAAATAAGATGTCTGAAATGAAGACAGAAGGGCACCTACTGGTTATAACAAGGTCCAATACCCTTAGCCACGGCAACTCCCATGAATAGAAGGGCAACGATGGCGTTCATCCAGAGTCTCATTTTGCACTTGATTTCTACGGATTCGTATGTAAGGGATTGTTTTGCACGAGAATATTTTGGAAGTGAAATGCCCTCGTCAGATGCACTGATAGCCCAGATTTATATGAAAACCGCCATTCAGGAATGTTGTTTGGGTCGGAGTTTACTAAGGACTGCCAGTACTTAGGCAATACTAATGGTCACAGTCTATCGACTTCTTTCTGCATTACAGACGAGGCGATTAACGAATATGCCTCACCTCGGTAGATACCATGGCCTGATATCAGGACTCCGTCGCTGACATCGGATAACGCGGTAACTGAGTCACCAGTTGATATCCTTGTTGAACACCAGCCTGAATCTATTCAATGCAACGCTGACTGCAGTAACACGTATTGAGCTTATGCCTAGTGCTTACACGCAGGTATTGTGCCAGGGGCCCTATGACCCCACTGGCCATCTTGGGTGGGTCAATACTTGCCCTGTGGTGACCGGATCTACCGCTAACCTGACGAAGAAGTCATTGCGAGTGGTTGCCGCGAGATGCGAAAAGTGAGCAAGATAACCAGACAGTTCAATTCTTGACGAAGAATAGTTAATAGTTCAATGTGTAGAGGTCAAGTCTACTTGTTGCGTATGGGTTGGGGCTAATTAGAGCGGACGATTCGAGGCAATAACTATGTATGAACGAAGGCCTCAAGTGACGATGTATATCTGTTCTTCCTATCCATTGAAGTGGCGCCTGATACTGTTCCAATCGTAAGGCAGTGATTAGACTGGAGCATATGACTCTGAGTGATATACCGTATACTAGCCCCGCCTTTTGTCTTCCTGTCAGGCGTTCCCGACCCCGGTTGCTCTCAAGAGTATCATTCTGCTTTGAATATCTGTCTGAGTGGGACAATCGTTCATGATGCATAGTTTCTTAGCAACTAGTTCTTTACATGTTAATGAGGCAATTATATGATAGGTCTACACTTGATAGACGATCCTCGTCATTTCTATAAGCCGACCATCAGTTTGTGGTTCCACCGCCTGTTTGTTTGCCTTAGCACGTTAGCTCACCCATCTCTAACAGAGTGGATACCCAGTACTTTGGTAGATGTTGATGTGGGTTTGGAATGTAATGATCCCGTGATGGAAATTGAGTTTGCTCTCATTAGTGCACACACATGAATAATGCTTGCAACTACTCGCTCCGCACCGGCATTACCGTTTGTTCCTAGATTCGGGCCGGGAATAGTCACCTACTGTGGGACTTGACACAGAACATGGGATATAGTTAAGGAGAATCAATACATGGTATTACATAGATATAACTTTTGCGAAAGCCAAGTGGTCATGCTCCGTAAGGTACAAATACTACCAGTAAATTACTGTAAGCGTTGTGCTACTAGTTAGTGCAAGGGTATTTCAGCGGATACATAAAGCCAACGCTACCACCTCCGTTCTCATATTACATCGTCTCTTGTGTGCCACTGATCTTCATTCATTATTTCGCCAGCCTGTCCAACTCGGAACTTGGTTCAGCCCAATCCCTACATATTATAAAGCGGCCAAAATATGTCAGTTGGCGCAGATCAGGAAACTCCCCTGTCTGGTACTGCAAGCCAAACTCCCTCCTTTGCTCTCAACGCGACATCGGATACAGATGAGTCTCACGCCGTCGACCCCTCAAGCCTGACTACCTACGAGAAGAGACTTTACGACTTCTTATGCTCTCAAGAATGGACTGATACACAGTGTTCTTGTTTCATCGCTCATATCGAGCAGATGAAAGAAGCCCTCTCGCACCATTTCTACTCGCAAGGTTGGAATACCGTTCAAGTGCAGCGTCTCCACGAGGAATGTGAGATGGAATTTCCAGAGCATTTCCCAGCTCCTAGAGGTGATGCCGAGCAACAAGATCTGCAGATGCAGCTGAGATTCGTCGAAGAAATGAATCGTCGAAGGGCGATTGGCGAGCGCATGTGCCCTTCAATAGGCACTATGGACGGGGGAGATTGATGAGAGAAGGACTTGAGTGGAATCCGCTTAGAGCTTTGGGATCCGTATGTCCATCTATCTTTGCTCAGTCCGCGTGTATGTGGTTCTTTTGCTGACTTCGTCGAGTCAGAAATGCAGAGTAATTGAGGCGCGATATGCCAATTACATCAATATTCAAGGCTTACCACAAAGCTTGATGCTTAGAATCACCTTCCGCATCAGATCAGTTCTCATTATTCTTCCATTCTTATTTAGACATGTAGCCCGTAATTTTTCAATCGTTCCATACCGCTAAGGTCCGGAATACTGGTGTCCTAGCGCTCTAATTCGTTACGGTGAGTTTCTAGTGCGAGAGTTGCCATAAGTGCGGCTTCTCTAACTGCTACTATGATCTATCTAGAAGCTTCAGGGGACCGCTCTGTCAATTTGCCGCTTCTGTGGTGCGGGTACCACATCTAAACAGTGCAAAGGCATCTGTTTCAGCCCGTATATCTTTAGACAGCTGGCGTTGGATTTCTCGCATTGGCTGCTCCCGGTCGTACTTCGTTTGGATCTGAGAAAGGGGCTTTTCTGGTACTCGTTGTCAGGCACCTGCTATCTCTTAGTTTAGGTTCTTGTATAGAGTATATCTTTTCGTTCCTCTATCCCGAGTCCAACACCTCTTCGCCATCAACCCTGTCTAATGCGCGGTCTGCGAAAAGAAGGCTCAGAAGATATACATGCAAGCTAAGAACAAGAAAAAGGTCGAAAATAAATTCGGGGAGTATATGTATATTTCTGAGATACTGGTCAGACCGAGCATGCTACGCGGTCGATAATTTGGGTTAGTATTTTCAAGACCCAGCCACTAAGTAACTTAAGTAAGTCCTTCGTGAATTCAAAGATGAATCAAATAATCATGCAACGTGGCTCACCCTGAGGATCGCAGAGTAAGCTATTCTAAAGATGTCAATATCTAAGATCTAAGATGGTCAAATTACGATTTGTAGTGAGACCGGCAAGCTGCAAGAATAGTCTCATTCCCATACAATGGCGACTGTGCCCGAATTTCTTCTTAGTAGCAGTGATAGTGGTCTCTATAACCTTCGCTCAGGAGGCTTAACCCGTCTTTGGGAGAAAACTTGTGCTTCTTGGCTAACTCTCGGATCACTACACAGGTGGCATGGATTGACTATATAGTTGATTACGCACGATATCATAGTGGCTACCGGCGTAAAGCCATGCGGCAATGGAAGGATCACACATACTTCATGTATTGAGTGGTTTATTCATGTCCCAATCTCACTAGAAGTTTGACTATTGTAGACTAGTCTGAATACTCTCATAGAAAGAATTCACCGGAAAGAGTGAACCATTCTTGAAGTGTACCTTATTGGAACTACTTTTTGCTTGACCCGGTCAAGGAGAGCGGTGGTACTTCTGGGGCAGCCTTCTTAGATATTTAATGTCTCGTCGATGTTTGCTAGTTGCTGGATATAGTACTCCAGTGGATGTTCGTTGTCTTTGAAGAGCAAGTCCGCGTCACTGGCATCCTGTATTTGGACATCTTCATCCTCGGAGTCTGTAATATTAGTATCGTGTCATTTATTCTCAGTACTTTGTCTATCAGAACAATTACTGTTCTTGGATAACTGGTAGTCTGCATCTAAAGAACAGTAAGCCATAAGATGAGATTACGTCAAAATAAAGAACAAAAAACTGTTGATACTCCGAACTGAAGGATTACTTATTATCCTAACGGGTCTGAGCATAGATGGAATGTCTCTATCCAAAGTCTAATTGTTGTTTGCAGAGTACAGCTATTATGGCACGAAAGAGAAATCGAGCTTCTGCATAGAGAGCATTAATTTATAATGAGACCTTGGGAAAAAAGCATTTCAGCACCCTTGTCAAGCAGCAGTGCGGTGGACAATATGCTCTAGCAAAGTATAGCTGAAGGTTAGAAATCGTGACTGACAGCCGAGTTGCTGTCAGATGAGCGGAGCCCACTACACATGATACTGGTGCATGGGTGCATGGACAAGAGTCTGCGTCAGTGGTTAGAATACTGGCAAATTGACAGCCAAAAACAGCGTCACTCCCGGCCATTGAAGTTCTCAATATACATATAACGATATACAGTAATTTCTATGATATGTAGGAGCTACTTGCGAAGAGAGACTAGCAGCGACCCTCATAGGGTCTGGACTTGACTGGGTCCGTGAAGCCTTTACCTCTTGGCGACAATACGAAGGCCAGTTCCCTGGTTCGCAAGGTGGTACCTATTCACCTTGAATAAGCGACGCCGGAAGCAGACAGATCCAAGGAACACATCAAGTTATTTGGATACTGTCAATGATCACGAATCATGAGCTCGTGAGGTTTCCCAATGCGTCGAAAAGCCACGATGGAAGCAGGGCAACACCACCACCACCTCACCACATGTGACCCTGACCGCTAAAGTGAAAGACGGAGTGGGTCTCACTCTCTTTCCATGTGGATCTTGGAGATTAGTTTCTTTCTGCTAGTCAAGTCGGTCTTTCTCTTGTCTCTCGGGTTTCTAGCAGTTCTTCCATCTTCTCCGAACTGGAACATAGCTCGAATGTGTCCCACCGCACTGCTTCTTTGTCGCATTGGGGGGGTCTGACAGATGTGAGACAACCGTCTCGAGCCAGCGTGTCCAACTCACTACTACTTGCTTGCAAAGTAACCTTCGAAATGAGCAGCTCCTCTTCCCAACAAATTGCCAGGCTCCAACCGTTCGTTTCGGCGTCTGCGCGAGAAGCTCAAGCGAGGGGCGGGGCTGTTTCTAGGATTTAATTAAATTAATCTGCTTTTTGCAGTTTAATCTCCTTCTTCCCCACCACCAACGAATGATGCTCTGTCGGAGCACCTCATCCTCACTCACTCTCTCTCTCTCTCTCACACAAGGTGACAGACGATGTCCGACTCATTGGGTGGTCATCCTGATAGCCATGGCTTGGATTCTTTCCATGGTCCTCGCGCGGAATGTCTTACTTGACGATAAGGGGAGGGAGAGGAGAGGAGGTAGTAGCGCCCTCATCGCTGCCTCATGGGTGTTGTTGACCCTTGGATCCATTCCTTCCATTCTTCACCAGTTCTCCGGGGCCCCCTAGCGCGCCCTTGGAACTGTACCGTTAACCTGACAAGTGGCCCTCAAAGGAAGGGAAAAAAAAGCTCCCAAACGAAAGCGGACAGACCCGTTCGCGGATGGGTTTTCTGTTCCTGGATTATTGTTTCGGCCTTTTTGGCGACTTGGTGATCCAGTTTTTATCAACGACCATGTCATGCTATTCCTCTTCCGTCGTTTCGAGCTGGTGACTCCTGAACCGAAGAGTAATTTTACTTTAATTTCTAGCTCTCTTTTAATTTTCTGGGTCGATAGCGATCTGTTACTTCACTAACGTATCTCCTACACCTCCGCTCCAAAACCTCGTCCTTTTTTTCCATCCTGCTGCGCTCCTGTTCCCCAAGTTGCGGGCGCCCGTTTCAAAGAAAGACATCTCCCATTGACCTCCTCCACAGCGGCCCTCTGCCGAGCACGAACTCCCCAATCACGCCCGCCTGTGGCTGCTCCGCGGGCCGTTGTGCTCGCCCGCCATTGCCCTTCCTGCCGGCATCCCTGTCGGTTCCGACTCCCCGCTCATGTCCTTGTCGCGATCGCCCTCTCCCCACCCCGCGGGAGCAGGATGGTCTAGTCCTGGACTCACTTCGCCCAGTGGCTCTACCACGCCTCACAATGGCTTCCTGTCGCCAAATCCCATAGGCGCCAGCGGCATCTCCTGGGCCGCCGCCAAAGCGAAGAGCGACGAGGTACGAGGCTACCCGTCCTTTTCGACGAAGAACAGCGGATTCTTCTCGCGCTCAAGACGCCAGCTCTCCGCCACTTTGCCGCGCTTTCGTCTGGGCTCGGGGTCTCCGAATGGTTATGTCGATAAGGATGAGTTTGGCCGGGGGCGGCCTCTCTCCCCAGCTACGGGCTGGCGCTTGGGGTTTGGCAGGTCGGTTCTGCGGCGCAGACGATCGCGCTTGCTCGTGGCGCTGATCTTTCTTTTGCTGGGCTATATGTTTTTTGGGGCGTGTAAGTGAATCGCATACCAATGGGAAGAAAGCCTGCAGGTAGCTGACCTTGTTACAGCTCTTCTCCAGAAGTATCGGCGCTCTCCGCTAGGCGGTGGGCGCAAATTCGTGATCATACTGGAATCTAACATAGAAGGCGGCGTGATGGAGTGGAAGGGAGCGCGCGAATGGGCGATCGAGCGCAACAGCATATGGAACAAGAAGAATTATGTGGAACGATGGGGCTACGAGTTGGAAACCGTCAACATGTTGGCGAAGAAGCGGTATTCACACGAATGGCGCGAGAGCTGGGAGAAGGTGGACCTTATCCGGGAGACGATGCGAAAGCATCCCGATGCTGAATGGTATGCTTGCCGTATTTGATTCCGTGAGCGTCACTGACATCTTGTGCAGGTTTTGGTGGCTGGACCTTAGCACTTGGATCATGGAATACTCCTACTCGTTACAGGACCATATATTCGACCGCTTGGATGAAATCATTTACCGGGACATCAATGTCTATAACCCATTGAACATCAGCCACCCGCCGGACGACGCTTATCTGGACGAGGTGTCTCGTTCGCCAAACGGAGACGGGGACCCATCATCGGTACATATGCTATTGTCGCAGGACTGTGGGGGCTTCAACCTCGGCTCTTTCTTCATCCGGCGCTCCCTCTGGGCCGACCGCCTGCTGGACGCGTGGTGGGACCCAGTCATGTACGAACAGAAACATATGGAGTGGGAGCATAAAGAGCAGGATGCGATGGAATACCTCTATGCGACGCAGCCGTGGGTTCGCAGCCACGTTGGCTTCCTCCCTCAACGCTATATCAACTCGTATCCCCAGGGGGCATGTGGGGACGAGAATGACCCGAATGTCCACTACCAGGAAGATGAAAGAGACTTCCTGGTCAACATGGCTGGGTGTCAGTATGGACGCGACTGCTGGGGCGAGATGTACCAGTACCGTGAAATCAGCAAGCAGCTGAACCTGACATGGTGGGAGCGGATGAAGGACAAGTTGAACGGCCTTTACGAGAAGCTTTTCCCGGGCGAGGAACAGCAAGTTGAATGAATAAGTCCGTTGCTGGGATACGGCATGTTGCTTCACTTTGATGTTTACTGCAGATGATGATTGGTCTGAGACATGACCATGTAAAATGCGGACTAATAACGACCTGGTTGACGGCGTATGGGATGGATTCTACGTTTTTGGCTGATTTGCTATTTTTGGCGAGGCGTTTGGTGTTAGCGGTAGCTATCTAGACTTCAAGTAGCTCATCTACTACCTCTTTATCTGTGCTCTGCAATAATCAAAAGACTTACGAACTAAGTATTATACAATTGTAGTTGCACAACTAACCACTCATAACCCGCTTAGTAATTATCCACAGCCCCACGTGACACAATGAACTTAGCACACCCGACCGCCCACACCCCCCAACCAATCAAACCACCGCAATTGCATCTGCTACTCTCGCGACCTCCGGAATTGAACTTGATACACTGACTGACCTCTCTACGTACGTACTCTCCCTCCGGTCCCTCCTCCAACCTACACACCGAACCTCCTCCCCCCGAAGGCAACAACCAAGGGAACACCGAAAATGCCGACCCCCGAATCCGCCTCCTTCCTGGCCAAGAAGCCCACCGTGCCGCCGACCTACGACGGCGTCGACTTCGAAGACAACGTCGCTGTCCACAACGCCCGCGACGCCATTATCCGTGAACAATGGGTCCGCAGTATGATGTCTCGACTGGTCGGGGAGGAATTGGGAAAGTGTTATGCGCGTGAGGGCGTTAATCATTTGGAGAAGTGTGGGGTTTTGAGGGGTGAGTTTATACCTGTTCTTTCTTTCTTTCTATCCCGGGAGCCCTTTTGGGGATGGTGTGGGCTAGCGAAGATAGAGTGAGAATTATGGCTAATATGTGTCTCTCTTTTCGGTGTGTAGAGAAGTACTTCGAGTTGCTGGGCGAGCGCAAGATCAAGGGTTACTTGTTCCAGGAGAAGAACTACTTTGCTGGGGAGGGAAACAAGTCTGCTTAGATTTTGCTCGGTGGATTGAATTGAAATTGGGTTTGCAGGGTTTCTGTGTTATGTTATGTGATATACAATATATGCATTGTGGTTTCTTTTCCTACTTCTTTTTCTTTTTCTTCTGGGTTTGGTTTGTGGGGAGTTAGAGGGTGTGGGTGCTGGTTTTAACCAGTCCGGGCTGTGAGTGTATGATATGCTTTGAGCTGGGCTGGATTTGGCTCTGCCGTGGTTTATATACTGGGTTGTGAGGTGCGAGTGAGGGGTCGAGTGTCTGTATTGATACTGCGTATGTGGAGTAAGCATTATGGGATGGTAATATGCTTGTGCTCAGTGATACATGTATAGGAAGAAGCTCGAAGCTCGAAGCTCGAAGCTCGAAGCTGAGATCAATAATAGGCACTGTCGCTCCGCTCCGGTACTGTCCCCGGCGTATACACACGCGCCACACTGGCTGCCTCCTCGTCACTGTCCTCGACATCACTTCCCGGTCCAAAGTCGTCCTCCACCGGCGGCGCACGCATGCGCACCAGCTGCTCCTCATCCAGCGAGGGAATCTTGTATGGTGCTGGCGCCGAATGGATATCTCGACCGGAGGGCAAGTTGGCAAGCAGGTCCGTAGAGGGTGGGATCAGCTGGGTATTGATCTGTGTTCGTCAGCAACATCATCCTAAACCAATGACGTGAACATCACCAACCGTATCATTCATCCGCACCCACTTCGTCTCCAACATCTCAATCACTCGACTCTCCTCCTCCCGACCTGCATTATCCCCCGGTCCTAGCTCGCCCTTCTCCGTCCGATCCCGACTGCCCGCATCTTTCTCCATTCGTCTCTCCTCCCGCCGCTCCATCCAACCCTGCTTCAATCTCGACAGTCCGGTCCGACTCTTAGTATTCGTCTCCTTTGTTTCCGCTGCAGCTGTTCCAGCTCCCCGGACCCCCAATGCCCCCTTCGCTGCTCTCAGCCATGCAATGCCCTCCCCGATCTTCCCAGACAATTCCGCATCCACCCCGAAGAACCGGCAGGCTCTCGCCCGCGCAACCCGTCCCAGTACCCGCGTATACCCTAGCAGATCATCATCAATTCCCATCCGCCCCTCTGAGCGGACAGATCCCAGCCCCGCAGCAGCTTGTTCCGCATACTCCGCAGCCCGGATACATAATCTAGCGAAGAGGTGCGCCCGGACCTTGGGGATCTCCGGCGCGCGGACCATCCAGTCCTTGTCATTGGGATTGCGCGCTTGAATACAGGCCGCGACGTAGGAATCGTCCTTCAAGACAGCGAGGAGAGTTGCTTCTGCGAGGGCGAGACAGGACAGGGCCGCTTGCGTGGCGGGGTCGAGGTCCGGGAGGGTAGATGTTCCATTTTTGTTATTGCAGATGGAATGGGCTGCAGTTGCGAAAGACGGCGAGGAAGCGAGGAGCGAGTGTACGGCGCTGGCTTGGAGGAGGTGTTTGGTGGCTGTTTGGATGGCGGCGGTGCGCTGTTCCGGAGTCGGGGTCGCGGATGCGTAAAGTGTGCGGGTGACGCCAATGCGGGCGAGCGAGTTGAGCACGTAGCTGAGGGTGGAGAGGACAAAGGCTATCTCGAAGTCGAGGCCCTGTCCCTGGATGCGGGTGGTGGTGGGCCGCTGTTTGAGGGAGAGCGTGGTGGTGGGGTTGGTGAGGGTCGGGCGCCAGGCGGATATGATCTCGGTGCGGAGGGTGATTTCAATTTCTTCGGTGGGTGATGTGTCGCCGGGCTTACTGCTGAGGCCGTTGGAAAGAGCGAGGAGGTAAGGGAGGTAGCTGGTTATGGTGGTGAGGAGAGTCTGCAGGTGGGCGTCTTGTTGCGGACCGCGGGGTAAACGCTTGTGTGCTTTGAGAGCTTGTCGGAGGGCATGGCGGGCGGTGGTGGCGGCTTGGGGAAGAGAGGGGTGGGTGCTGGAGGTAAGGAAGGTCTGGAACGAAAGATGAGAGGTGGAGGGCAGTGTGAAGGCGTAGACCATGGTGATGGTGGTGGTGATTGGGGTGTTGAAGCTGGAGTGGAGTAAGAAGAGGAGAGCTGGAGGCGAGTTGGAGGTGAAGATCTCCGCGGCAGCCAAGAAGCTCGTCTGCATTGGAACCTACGGGAAAAGCACGTCGGGTTCAACTCGGGCCTACTGGCCGATTAGACTAATTCATGTGGCTTTATACGCTGATATGCTGTAGATACATGATTTCGTTTGCAGGATGGTATTTCCATCCCTCAAAATTCGTCCCGATGGCCTTCTTCGCACATGTCTGAAGGCGTAGATGCTGTTTTCTGACTCGGTGGATAATGGTAAATCCAGCCTGCTCTGTCCCTGAACTGTGACAACCTGTCTGTAGCAATAGCAATTGATATGCTGATAATCCCAAGCTGGTGGACGATCTGCCGGGTCGTTGTGGTCAAGCTGGGCCGGCCAGCTGTCCCAATGCCAGATACGGTGTAGGCGTTGTTGATGCAGCTATGGCGTCTATGAGTCTGGCTTGTCGGGCTGCAGACGACCGACAGCCTTATCGCAGTTAATCGTGAAGTGAGGTCTCGCTCTCAAACGGCCTCTGTTTGCTGTCTCATCACACATCCATCCCTTCACCATCGGACAGGTTGCTCGGCGCACTACTGACACCAGACGAATCGCTGTCAGCCATGTACGGCGCCCGCGACCGCATTTGTGAACCCCAGTCCTGGAGACTGGGCGCGCCGCCCTCGATGATAATAGGATGCTCGTCGGCATTCTTTCCTAGCACAGTTCCCGCATATCTCGACTCTTCGCCGGTTTTGCTGTGTTTCTTCTTCAATGCCGTCAAAAAGTCTTCTTTCTCGAGAGCGTCCGCATCGACCATGTCGCCTTCGCTGGGCACAAATCCAGCAATCCGTCGAATCTCCCGGTTGGCCGGCCCGGTGAACCATGACAGAAAGCCCTCCAATCCTCGCATATCCTCTTCTCCCTGCCAGTCCTCCTCCCACTCTCGAAGCTGGGGTCGTAGCGCGCCTGCATCTTGCAAGGCTTGGTAGATATCTTCTAAGACCGGAACAGGGTCATGTGGATGAGCGTTGGCAGCATGGGTAGTCGCAGATGAAGCAAGGATCATGATGTATTGGGCGGTAAGGTCAGCGAGGGTGTCTAAAACGGATGGTCGCGTTGCATGAAAGCCTGCTGCGCGCAGGATCTGGATAATTGGCGGGCGGAGAAGAGCGTTGTGTAGATTGGAGCCAGACATGTTGGCGTGTGGGTGGTAGACGAAAAGCAGCGATAGAGACGTCAAGGAGAGCCTTTCAGCTCGCAGACCAGGATTATATAGCTAAGAATAATAAGCGGCTCACTGCGTCGCTATTGTTGAGGTCGAGTGTTAGGAGATGAATAGGAAGCAAAGAGAGGATCAATGGCTGAATGGATGGGCCTCTTACTGCCTCTTTGGGTCTTCCGCCTTCCTGGCTCCGCCCTCGAGTCTTCGTCTCCGCTGTAACACAGCAAGCTTCACTTTCACCCCATCCGTTTGCCAGCCTCCTACCATCTCTGTTATTGGTCTTATTTCGCTCACTTCTATATCGCATCTCCACCGACTTGGTGGTCACCTCTCGCCATGTCGGACACACCCCGTCCATCGCTCAAGCTCACCTTCGGGAAAAAGAAGGCGCCCGAGGAACCATCTCAGAGACAGCCTGCTGCACCTCCTCCGCCAACAGAGACCCCCCAACGCAAGCTCACGCTCAAGATCGCCCGTAGGCCGGCACCAGAAGCGCCTCCTGAGGATGACAAACTTAAGAAAAAGAAGAAGACTTCGAAGAAGCGTCCAGCAGAGGGACCCGCGTTGCAGGAACCTTCCACCACGGTCGCGACAACCCAACCCTCTGGGCCTAAACGCCTGAAATTAAACCCATCGAAGAAGCCCGGGGTCCAGTCGCTTCGTATCAAGAACAAGGGGCTGGTCCCCAACCGGCCGGTGGGCGTTGGCTACGACTCGGAGGCGTCCGACACGGAAATCGACCCCTCGATCGAGGAACAATTCATTCTGCGCATGTTGCCCGGGGAGGATTGCGAATATCTGCAGCGCGCCATTTCTGAACGCCGGTTCGATCGCTCGGAAATTTCTTTTAAGCCACTCACCCGTGAGGGACGACGCGCCATCTTCAAGATCCGCGATCATCAATACGCCGCAGCGCTGGTCGACTTGCCATGTATCATCGAAGGTATGAAGAGTTGGGACCGGCGTGGGTGGTACAAATCTGCGGATATCTGCCAGATGCTTCTGGTCCTTGGCCCGGTTGCTAATGAACAAGAGGCCATGGACTACCCGCTTCCCTCGGACATTTTACACCCAGATGACAAAACTTTGCAATACCCACACGGTCTCACGCCGCCGTTGCGATGGGTCAGGAAGCGGCGTTTCCGGGAACGGATCAGCACGCGGACTATCGAGCAGGTCGAGAAGGCCGTCGAAGATCTGATTGCCCAGGATGAGGCTGCCGTGGCACCTATCCGCTATGAGCTGGTTGATAAGACAGCATTGAACCGGGCTGAGGGACTGGTCCAAAGTGGAGATTACGACTATGAAGATGAATACGATGATGAACAGGATGCCGAGGGCGAGATGGAGGAAGGCATGGAAGATGGTGGTCTGTTTGACGATTTCGAAGACACCCTCGCTGCCGAGATGGAGGCTGCCTTGGCTGCCGGCGACGAAGGCGAGCCAGGCGCTGCGGCCGCGGCAACTGGAGCTGAGCCACCATCAGATGCTGGAGTATACCAAGCGGGTACGCCAATGGCAACGAAGCCGTCCACGCCTGCGCCAGAATCGTCTGGTGATGAGAGTGACGGGTCCGACGATGGCGATGAACCGGAAGACGAGCTGGACGATGAGCAACTCGAGCAACAGCGGCAGATGCAGCAGCAACGCGAGGAAATTGCCGAACTGGAGGCACTGATCCGCGCCGAGACCGCGAAGTGGGAGAAGATGCAGAACGCCATCCTGAAGGGCAAACTGGCCAAGCGGATCCACGATCTGAAACAGGATCTATCATTGAAGAAGGTGTCTATCGGCGAGGGCGATGATGCTGATGGTTAATCAACACCTCACCTATGTGTCTCTGTCTGTGTGTCCTAATAGCCATTTATTGATTTCTGATACCCCATTACATACCATTCAATCTCCTTACACCTATTCTATCCTATTCTTTCCCTATAAGATAAAACAGATCATAGTATAATCAAACAACCTTCCCCGCGGACCCCCTACTCGCCGCCCCCACCACATCCACCTCCTCATCCTGCCTCAACTTCCTCCTCCGGACCGCCTCCGTCTCCCCCTCCGGCTCCGCCGGGCTCTGTCCCACCCGATCCCCCAACATCCTATCGTGCATCTCCCTCTTCTGGTCCAAATCCGCCATTTCCCCCTTCTCATACCCCGGCGCCCCTGGCCCCTCGGCGCTGCCTACCGCCCCGGCATGCGCCCCGGCTTGTGCTCTCGCCCGCGCATCCGCCGACTTGCTCTGCACTGCGTGCGCGATATCCCCTTCTGCGGGCTGCTGCTCAACCCCGTACTCTGTGTCGAGGGTTTCGCCGGCGTTGCGCATGGTTTGCTGGGATGCTTGGTGCTTGGTGGATTGGTCCTGGGAGTTGGAGGGTTGGGAGGCGGCGTTGCGGGTTATGGCGGGCAGGGCGTCGCCACGGTGACGGGGAAGGCGGTCGTATTGGGATTGGGATGAGGATTGGTTCTGGGGTATGCGTTGCTCGGAGGGGGTGTGGGTTACGGGGTTGCTGGCTTGGTTGTAGGCGGCTTGTTTGGGGGGTTGGGGGGGTTGTTGGTGGTGGGATTGCATTGTTGTTTGGGTTGATTGATTGATTGAATGGTTGGTTGGTTAAATGATTGATTTGTGTGTGAGTTTGTATGCGTAGTGGTCGAGATGGAGGGATTGAGATGTGGTGATGGTGGTGGTGATGGAGAATAACTATAAGAGAACTGTGAGGGGATGACGTCAGTGATGATGTGATGTCAATTTTGGAGGAATGAAGAACAGTTGGTTCTCTTGGAAATCGCGTAGATTAGCTCTATGTACTGCTTGGGTTGTTTTTATCATATGAAGTTAGTGGTATTGTCCTGAGCTGGAGGTGATTTGAGATCTGGTTCATTTTACTTGGGGATTCACTGGTGGTGTGTCGCTTGTGCTGTTAGCTGTCAATATCTCCCCTGACTGTATTTATTGAAGAGTACATGGTGGAACCATAAGGGCAGGTAATGTAACTATTCAACATAATGGCAAACGGTAATGCGATAATTGATGTCAAATATGGTTGGTATACAGTGAAGTGGATGCAGAACACTGGCTGGTGGAGTGGGTGATGATGGATTGCGGGGATGGCAGATGCAGCTGTGATGGGCCCGTTCACGCCGTTGGAATTTAATTTTACTACTAAGGACTAATTGCATGGGATCATCATCACGATCAGATGAGTTCTACAAAAAGCAAATATACACATACACCCCTCAGCATAAGCATGATATTCTGACAAGAACATAACTCACATGCAGTAAAACCAATCTGGACATACTCCAAGCGCATGTGATACCGCGGGAATCAACTCCTTTATTTCCCCAGATTGAAGAAACAGATCTAATGATTACTGATCACAACTAAACCTCAAAGTATACAAGACCACCATCCCATCTCTCTACCATCCGCTTCAGGTCACACACGTACACACTCACCAAGAAAGCAACAAGCAATAACCCTCTCCCACTGTACCACCACTACCATGTCTACCGCATCTCTGCTCTTCACCCTCCCCATCCCTTCCACCTCCGGCTCCATCACCTGCACCAACCCATCCCCCGACCAACCAACAATCTACCTCCTCACCTTCACCTCACCCCTAGACAACCGTCTCACTCCAACCTTCATCGACACCTTCCTCCTCGCCCTCGACATCATCGAACACCGCTACCAAAAGGGCGTCCTAATCACCACCAGCGGCATTCCCAAATTCTACAGCAATGGACTAGACCTCGAACTCGCCCAATCCACAGAGGGCTTTCTCGATAAATGGCTTTGGAAGTTATTCCGTCGACTATTAACGTAATACCCCCTCCCTTATACTTCACCACTAACAGACAACACTAATATATGAATACTTTGAAATACAGCTACCCCATGCCCACCATCGCCCTCCTAAACGGCCACGCCTTCGCCGGCGGCTTCATGCTAGCCATGTACCACGACTACCGGATCCAGAACCCGAGTAAGGGTTTCCTGTGCATCAACGAGCTCGAGTTCGGGGTCCCGTTGCAAGCGCCCATGATGCATGTTTTCCGGGAGAAGTTGACACCCAGCGTGTGTCGGGATGTTGTTCTCGAGGCGAAGAGGTTTCCTGGGCCGGAGGCGCTGCGGGTGGGGATTGTGGATGGGTTGGGAGGCGTGGAGGAGACTTTGAAGTTCGTGAAGGAGAGAAAGTTGGTATTGATGCCGAAGACGGAAATCTATGGGGTGATGAAAGAGGAGATGTATCGGAGGTTGTTGGGGGTGGTGGACGATCATCATGGGAATCTGGAGTGGAGGGAGAGAATGGAGGAGAGGAAAGGGGAGGAAGAGAATGTTGGGAGGAAGAGTGTGGAGGTTTGGGAGGCGAGGAGGAAGGGGGGCAAGTTGTAGGGCACTCACGGTATCTTGTAGAGGGATTGCATTTGTGGTATATATGTATAGATGATTCATATTATGATACTATAGAAAGTGAGATGGGAATGGTGGTAGTAACTTCTCTTAGAGTCTGGAGTTACTACTAAGTACCAGCCGAGGTGGTCGACATATATTGAATCTACAAGACCGATCACTGCATTCTCCATACGGAGCTTTTGATCAAATAGATGTGAGACATGTGTGCCGCTTAGGAAGGCGACAGCTAAGGATATACTACTAGTATAGGGGAGCTGAAAGATTGCTTGCCAGATTGCCAGGGACTTCTCATACTTGTATTGAGAAAGTTGCAAGACCTGGCAAGAGATCTGATTTTATCTTCCCATAACTGCTTCACCTCATATATAGCTAGTATACTAATCAACGTACACTAAAGAAGCCTTCCCAATATCAAAGCATAGATATTATACCCAATACAAATACTCACCTAGCGTTCTTGTAACACTCTGATATTCTGCTGCAAGAATGAATGCCCGTACACCAATTCAATTCCCTACAGCCTCATTCTCAGTAACATATCATAAGACTCAAGCAACACAGTGAGCTCAACGCGATCTGTATTCCTACAAATATTTCACTCCTGATCTCACCCGCCACTCTCACTTCACGAGCCTTCATGCACTTTGTTCCATAAACACAGCATGGCTCGCTTGCTTGCCTTCCTTAGTCAAAATCAATTCACAGCGCTGGATGGGGTCTTGCCCTCGCAGAGTGAGTTTTATACAAGATATTTAACCATTGGCTTGATGTGCTCTCAGGCTCACTACACCAGTTAGTTATCGCTCATGGTTGTCTCGCTGCAACTTTCACAGCATTTACAAGTTTGCTAGGTAGTTCTACCATCTCTTCCATCACAAAGTTTGCTAAAATTTTCATATCAGATACAGCTTGATTCAACATGGAGAGCAGAAAACGCAAGGCCGATGATGAACTCGATCCCAGCATTGCCGAGAGCGTGTCAGATGTCAATCCTGCTACGGTTGACAGCGCGCCTGGGGTCGATTCCATGACTGCTAACAGCGTCCCTGGGGCTGAACCCATTACGGCTGACAGCATTTCCAAAGTCGATCCCGCCATGGCCGCTTACATCGAGAAGAGACGCAAAGAAAAGGAAGACTTTCTGATACGGCAGGGAAGGGCATTGTGGGCGAATTACTGGATTCCGAGAGAAAAACAGCTCTCCAGGCCTTTCGGGCCACTGCCAAACCATCCAGAGGTGATCGAGGTCTGGCAACGTAATGAGGTAAGATAGGACATGGATGTGAAATCAGTTGTGGAGGGGCAAATCATTGACGGACAGTAGGCGGACCAAGAAACTGCATCCTCAGAATTCCCCCCAAATGGAATAACTGATAAGAACCCTCCTCTTTCTTACGACGTCATCGCAAGTATACTCTGGAAGACCAAGGGTCATTGTCCCAAGGCGCAGGCGTGGTTGAAGAGCCATGAGATGGACAGATTGTTGCGCGGTAATGTGATAGTGAGGCACTATGGACGTGAGAACCTGAGAAAGCAGGCGCTTCATAACCGGTATCAGATGAATCTTGCTCTGCAGAAGTTGGCCATGAGGTCCGCGCAAGAGGTGGATGATGTTAAGGAAAACCAGGAAAATGAGGTTACTACCCCTTGGGACAGAATCTTGGCAGCTCATGACAGACTTCGAAAGGCGATGGGTGAACCTGAGGTGTTTGCGCATGAGATTCTATTGTGGTAGCAACGCCTCCTGTCACAGTCAGATTTGCAGGCGCATGCTAGTAGCCGGCTGACGTACCCTCTGATTCTGTCTCTTTGATATACGTAGTAAGATGAATGTCCATTCATGTACCAAGGCTTGGCGGTTCACTGGACGGTTCTTGTAACTATCTTTTTCAATAATCATTGATGATCAAGTCTTCTTGTTTCTGTTAGTTCCCTTGTTCTTTCCCGGACTCTCCAGCTTGTCCACTAGAGGCCGATACGGCGAAGCTACAACATGCTCCGGCGCTCTTTGAGCAGTATCGTCGCGTCTGGGTTCACCGGACGACGGCCGCCTCCGCTGCTCCTCGTGCATCTTATCCAACGGTTCGCCCACGATCTGGTATTTGTTCCAATTGATGGGGGGCATGCGGACAACATTCTGCGGTGTGGGCAGGGTGCCTAGCCCAGAATAAACGCCTCTCTTGGGACTTTCTACATCCTCGTCCTCCGAGTCTTTGTCATGAGTGAAGTTGATGAAAGCCCCTGTATCCTTAGCCGACAGATTCCCTGCTGCCAGTTCGCGGGCGAACCCTTCTGGATCCTCTGCTGCAGCTTTCTTGAACTTTTCTAGAGTCTTAATATCCCGCATGCTTTGCTGCTTCTGGAGCTGAAGGATAGAAATCGCGGATCGCAGAGCAATGGCATCCGGGTTCTCGCTCTCCGAGATCGGGACGGCGGCTGGTTCGGGCGCGAACACGGGTGCTGCAGCCGGCGGGGTGAAGTCTGCTAATGAACCATAAGGAGGTACTCTTGTTGTTGGCGAAGGCGACGCAGCTGGAGGAACAATAGGGTGAGGAGCGCCGTTCCCCGTGGCGGCGTTCGTGGCAGGCACAAGATGGGCAAAGACAGGAGTCACGGGAGAGTACGGCGGGCGCGGCGGAGTTCCCGGCCGATCAGGCTGATTGCTTTGGTTCTCCTGCGAAGGCTGCATTGCGCGGTGTTGGAGAGAGCAGGGACCGGAGGGGTTGTTGGCGATGATACGTGGTAGAAACAGCAAGATAACCTGGTCCAACGGATTGCTGGCTGGATCGATGCGATGATCGACGGCAATGACGTCTGTGTTTGCAACTGAGGGGTTTAAGGGATGGTAGTAGCGGTGACTGTCAGGATGCTAATCTGATGAAAGCGATAAGTCAAGAATACTGCCCAATATGAGACCGTCAATGACAGTTCATGTTGAACGAGGCGATGCTTGAGTCAGAAGAGCGATGGAAGGTGCTGGATGCGCTTATCGAAGGCGATTATCGGGGCTCCAGTGCGGAGTCAATCAACCCCAGTCAATTGCTTGTTGGTGGCTGGGAAATGCATGCTGATGGCAGTAGTAATTGTAGAGCGCATCTCCACAATACGATAATTGGTATCGACTACTCTTGTATTGTTCTTAATGAATAGCCAGTGAATCTCTATTCAGCAGCAGTCAATAAGTAGTAAATAAATAAACAGTTTGATGAATCCATTCTAGTGAATGTGTCTATTTTAGGAAGCCATATGGCCTGATCTGGTGGCCTGATTGATGCCTGCAGATTTTTCACCGCCAAATTTATTCGAAAAATTGAGGGCAAAATCCAACATTCCGTGAGATTGAAACCTCTCCAAAGTCTATTCAGTCCCTCGCATTCCTTTCCATCCCTTTCACAATGAAGCGCAAGACAGATGGAAGAGATTCCCTCGGCGGCAAAGACCAGCCCGAGTCCAAGAAGCGCGCTTTGTCCAGCGAAGAAGCCGCTGCGCGCTTCCGTGACGGCTTGTTCGAGCCGTCGGTCCTGAAGGACTATACCGAGCAATATGCCCAGTCTGCTCCGTATGTCGCCCATTCTACTCTTGGTCTGGCATTTAACATTGAGTGAAGCTAACCCCAGGTCCAAAGGTACAAGCATGGAGTCATTCACCCCCTCATCGAGCCCTCCCTCCTGCGCGCCGTCCGCGACGAAATCCAGGCCCAGGTGCAGTTCACCGAGAAGGAAACCGACATCTACAAGATCTTCCAATCTGGCGACTTGGCCAACCTGGACGGTCTCGACGATGCCTCTCTTGCGAAACTGCCCTCCATCCTCAAGCTGCGCGACGCCATGTACTCTGCCCGCTTCCGTGAGTTCCTCTCGAAGGTCACCGGCTCTGGAAAGCTGAGCGGACAAAAAACCGACATGGCCATCAACGTCTACAACGAAGGCTGCCACTTGCTCTGCCACGACGATGTTATCGGAAGCAGACGCCTGTCCTACATTCTCTATCTCACCGACCCCGACCAACCTTGGCAGGCCGAATGGGGTGGCGCACTGCGTCTGTACCCCACGACGACCAAGAAGGATGCGAACGGCGACGATGTCCTAATCCCCAGCCCGGACTACTCCCTCAGCATCCCTCCCGCCTTCAACCAGCTCAGCTTCTTCACCGTCCAGCCCGGAGAGAGTTTCCACGACGTCGAAGAAGTCTACCACCCCAAAGACAACGAGGACAAGTCCAAGAAGCGCGTGCGCATGGCCATCAGCGGCTGGTTCCACATCCCGCAGGAAGGTGAAGACGGCTATGAAGCCGGTCTGGAGGAGAAGCTCGCCGAGCGAAGCAGTCTGGCCCAGCTCCAGGGCCGCGGCGACATCTACGACCTCCCGCAGCCCAAGACCGTCGAGTGCGAGAACGAGGACGAGCAACAACCCGAGGAAGGAGGCAAGGGCAAGGGCAAGGCGAAGGTGGAAGAGGAGCCCACGCCCGAATTCACAGAATCCGACCTCGCATTCCTGATCCAATACATCGCCCCATCCTACCTCACCCCCGACATCGCCGAGGAAATGTCCGAGACCTTCTCTAACGAGTCGTGTCTCAGTCTGGAACGATTCCTTTCGGAGAAATTCGCTACTCGTGTTCGGACCTACATTGAAGAGCAGGAGAGCAAGAGCCTGCCCAAATCCTCCGACGAGATCCTCGCCCAGACTGGATGGACGGTCGCCCGTCCCCCCCACAAACAGCGCTACCTGTTCCAGCAACATGGCACCGCGACCCAGGACCAGAAGTCTCCGATCCAGGAACTCCTCGACGACCTTTTCCCTTCCCGGGCGTTCCGCAAGTGGCTCGCTCTTATCACCGGCGCGGACCGTATCACCAGCTACGACTACCTGGCGCGTCGCTTCCGCAGAGGCCAGGATTACACCTTGGCCAGTGGTTATGATGGAGAACAGCCCCGTTTGGAGCTGTCGCTTTGCTTGACACCCACTCCGGGCTGGGAGAAGGAGGACGACGACGAGGAGGAGGACCAGGATCAGGATCAGGATCAGGAAATGGGCGAGGGTTCCTCGGAGGAGCAGAAGAAGAAGGCGGTCAAGCCCAAGAAGGATGAAGGAGCCGTGGCCAACGGCGACGCCGAGGAGCCTTCGGTGGGTGGATACGAGATCTACATGGCCGGTGACGACGAGGAAGAGGGCGATGCAGCGATCTACCGGTCCGCAGGCGCCGACGATGATGACGGCATTCTCTTCAGCACTGCCGCCGGATGGAACCGACTCAGCATTGTGCTGCGCGACAGCGGCACCCTGAAGTTCGTCAAATATGTCAGTGAGGCTGCCAAGGGTGACCGTTGGGATATCACGGGTAACCTGGGAGTGGAATTCGAGGATAATGATGACGAAGACGAAGATGATGAAGATGTGGATGATGATGACGTTGAAGAGGAGGATGAGTGAAACAGAAAAAAAAAGTCGTATATTTTCCCTCAATTGTACATACTACGCAACGTGATGAACCCCAAAACAATATTGACAAAAATAGATACAACCATGATTCCTTGTGTAAACGCCCCGAAACACACACTCACACAGCCCATCACATCCCACATACCCAATCCAATCAGAATTACATAGAAGTAGGCAGCAACCATATACCCAAAACACCGCAGGATCAATCCCTAAACTTTAAGTACCCTTTTTCCACTCCTGTACGGAGTACAATATACGATTGTCGCAAGTAGGAACCTAGTTGTTTAGCACCGCCACCCCAGCAATCGATCCTTCGAACGCCCAATCGCTTCCTAAAACCCCCACTCAGTTACTCGCTCAGGAAAAGAATTCGATTGCTTTCTATGGGGGTACAACTATGCAGCCTATAGGAGTCCGAAAGAAATAAGTAGTCGGTCGTTTGGTCTCCTAGTGGATACTTAAAAACACAATATTCAATTGTTTCGTGGACTTGTCACATTTTAATATAATAATACTTGGTAAGTAGGTAGAGGGGTGCATATGGGAGATATTTTATTTTGTAGTAGATGGTAAAGATGACGCGATCCTGCGGTGATTTGCGCAGGGTATATATATATATTTAGTATATACTCCGGATATACTAGTTGCTGTTATATTGTTGGATACGTAGTGTGGTGGGTGATATTTTTGGACGAAGGGGGAGGGGTACTTGATGCAGGGGATGGATGGATGGATGGATGGATGGATGGATGGATGGGTAAGTCTACTCTGTAGATGTGGAGTTTAGTTGCACTTCTGAGGCCTTGTATTCAAATTGTACAATCACTAGTTGAATTGGATTGGTGCCTGTTGGGTAGAAGAAAGTATGTGCTTTTATATGATGTTTGTTTCTTTAGTAGATGTATGGGTAAATGGTGTAGTGGATCGGTATGTTTATTCTTAAGTGTTTTTGGTCTCTAGGTTGGAATCTGCACTAGACAGTTAGGATATCTGAATACTCCGTTTCAGTAGGAAGTTATTTTTTGTGTGTTGATAGTAATTAGGAGTGTAAGTGAATGCCCTCACTTTACTACAATGTATGGCGATGCTGAGAAGGGGGTTCCGGTGTGGGTCTTGTCAGTAGTAAGTATTTCATTGCAAATGTGGCTACTTCTACGATCTAGATTACTACTTATATTGTGTCTAATGGATTTTTATGACATAAGTCCTACAATTATCTTGGACTTATCGAAGAGTTTCATTACTTCGTATACGGAGTGTATATTTTGGTTTGCAAAAATCGGATGGAGCGATCTCCGAACGATTCCCTCTCTGTAAACGTAAATATATACAGCAGGACCCTTAAAACTAGATAATACACATCACAAATAAGTTATGATCATGAGACACACTCCCACTTCCTAATTTCCTATTCTGAGTTATTCCAACTAAAGCATGCTTGCTTCTTTCTCTTTATACACTTATACTTTTTCCTCCTAACAAATCATCCGCGGAAATAAGTCCGTCGCAGAATGGTTGGATACCCGGTCACAGGAGCTATTTAAACCTTCTTTTTCTTTTTGTTTCTGATCCCTAAGCCAGGCCACTGGACTTTTGGATTCTAGACTTTGCATTTGCTTTGAGAAATCCAGACTGTAAGCCCTACTGCATACTTAGTTTGTCACCTGAGGGATAACTATTTCGTTGGTTGCCACCAATCACTCCGAGAATTATTCCAAATCAGAGCCTACTTATACTTACTTGTGCCACTGAATGGCGATGAACAGTCCCAAATTTAAGACCCCCCGTTCAAGCCCGACTATTCAACTTAGCATGCATCGGGCTTTGAAAAAGATGTGCTGAACACGACTTGGTAAAGCAACACCAAAACCTGATTGGCTAATTGCTGTAACCAGGAGGCGTTTCAGAGATTCAACCTGTGCCTTATTTCGAGGCACAAACTGCGGATCCTCCCTGAGCTGAGACCCTATCACCGGAGAGCCTCACCTTGGCCCATGAACTCTTTTGTGTGTCAAATTTCGGCTTTTGGGGCTCACATACTTGGCATTATCTTTGATGATGTATGGGTATGAGTTAACGTCTCGCAGGATTGCGGGGTGGGACGTGCTTTCTTGCTGGAAACGGAATATTCAACGGAGTCCGGGTCCATGGACGAGACTGATTCTGCCAATCAGGGCCATATCCGAGATAACTACTCCCTGCTTACCTTAAACAGACACAGAAAACTGTGCTCCGTAGGGCTAAAGGGGTGGGAAGGAATTGAGATGACTGAAGCATTGGGGGCCGCCCACGTGGTTTTGGCCCGCGTATACTCGGAGGTCAGGAACCTGGTTTTCAGTGCGTGAAAGTGGACGCATCGGGTTACTTGTCGACAGCCTCCGGTGAGGCTGTGGACGGGAGGATTAGTTCAATTGGAAATCTCTTATGCAGTTGTTTTCTTTTTGCGAGGGGAGGGGGTGACTGTATGTGGTATGTGTTGGACGTCCGAAAGCGCCGCCGGCCCCTCCCACTCAGCCTGGAGTTGGGGTCGGAAATTGTGACAGGTGCCCTCCATGCATGGGCGTCAAGCCCACCCCCTGCTTTTGCGCGGGTGATGATTGATACATTCCGTCCCTATTGGTCTTTCTCGCCCGCGCGGTGCAAATCGGTGGTTTGATCCAGCTCAGCCCTTCTCATAGCTATTTAGTCATGGATGCTCGCCTGCAGGCAGCGCTGTATCAAGTCCAGCGGGCGTGGTTCAAATTTGATGCTTCCCCCCTGCAAATGAGGCAACCGGGCAAGTTCCGTTTGTCTCCCGGAAGATAGAGTAAGCTCGATAACCATGCTTATTGAGGCGACAGACCCGAGTTAGGGACTTAGCCTCGGACTGCAGAGCTTATTGGGCCTGTGGATCGATCGATTCCCTATGCTTAGTGTGTTGAAGGATGCGCCGGCGGCCCAAAAAGACGGCCGTGGCGACTAGTCCACTGTCCGGTGTCCGTTTAGAAACGGAGGAAGTTGGTGCCCCTCGAAGGATGCCTCGGTCTATTGTCACCCTTATCCAGTTCTGAGTGAGATGTTTCATTGGTGAGGATAGATTACTTTTTGACCAAAGAAATCGATGAGAGATTGAGACGAAGCTGATCGGAGAAGTCCGTAGCCACGACGTCCTTCTCCCTCGTCCATTTCCTCCCCGGCGCGCGACGCTAATTCGAGCTGACATAATCCTCATGACCACACACCAGTGCTGAGGCGTGTGGGTTGCCTTTTAATATACCAATGTATGCACGTCGCAATTTAGCCGTGGGGTCCAGTCATCTGCATCGGACATGGACGCCCAGGCTGTGTGCCATGAGGCAGGTTCAGCCCGAGCATGTTGGGATCCAGCGGTTAGGACTGGCTTACCCTCATGCCTAGGCCTCTACTCAGTACTCTACCATTGAACCACGCCAGGATAGCTAGTCCAGATGTGGCAAAAGGATGTGCATATAGTAGGCCACGGTATAGACCGGGAGCTGTCAAGAATCCACCTCACCAGTTCGCAATTACTTGACCGGGCAAGAAAAGCCGCCTAGCCTTGCGCCAGGAGCCTTGCATGGAGAGATAATCCACACTAGGTGCTGACAGCCCGACACAGGTTTTGGGTAAGGCCAATGTAACCGTCCGGGCTTACTGTTATCATGATTGAGATGCCAGCGGGGTGTTAATCTAATCGAGTGAGCACGGTGCAGATTTCTCAAGGTCTGGCCCACGAGCGGCAGGTGGGATCCATCCGGAGATACTAGGATTAGTCGAGGCTGGCAGCGTCGGGGAGGACATCATTCAGCAGCTGCAGGGGCGGCACTTTCGTCAAGCATTGGGCTAGATAGATAGAAGGAGGGTGAACTGTGATTTGAACTTCTCAAAGAAGGTTAGTTGGCGCCAGGGTGAAGAAAGATCGCTTCATGGCCCATGCTCCAGGCGAACGAGATGGCAGCGTCCAAGGCCCCAAGTCTGGCCGTGATGGATGGGGTCACCACCGGATCTATACCGGGACAGGCAGGTGCTAAAGGGGCCCCGGTGTCAGGTAAATGAAAGCACATGGCCCAATACTGCACGAGCAAATCCCCCCCCGGTCAGGCCCAATGCATCCCTGTCAACTAGCAGAATTGAGATGCATAGATGGTGGTGATGGCCAGAATTAGTCTCGTGGCCGAGGCGGTGATACAAGGACTCTTTTGGCTTCGTGTTACCTAAACGAGGCCCGGTGATTAGTTGGGCGTCCGGCTCCACCCGATGGGGAAGCCAGACCCCTGTCCTGTCACATCGGCTCAGCATTGCACACGCTGCAGGAAGCGGGTCGAATATGGCTGAAGGCAAGTGGCAGTACTCCATACTAGTAGTTAATGAATATTCAACCTATCTATCTAGCCAGTCTCGAAGAGCACTAGACAGGTTGAAGGTACTTTGTACTTTGTACCTAATTAGGGGATCGAGTAGTGGTAGTACTAAGTAAGTAGTAGTGGGAATTGTGAGATTTTGGGGGGGTGGTACTGTCAGTATAGGCTAATCAGATCAAGAATCTGGGCGGCGCTGTGTGTCATCTTTCATTAGCCGTTGAGATAGTCAATCAGTTAATCCCCGATCAGAAAACATTTTCTTGTAAAGAGAGTTCAATCGAGGACATAGTCTTTTTTTGCCGAGTGGTTGTGGTGGATGTGGATATATTGGGCTTGTCATTGTAACCACGGGACAACTGGTCAGAAGGAAATGGACGGAGCAAAGCCAGTCAGGATCGAGGAATGAGAGACACAAACAGAAAAAGAAGATCAATAAAAATTATAATATCACCAAACTAACCACGACCATAACAACCATCACCAATCCAAGCAAAATTGAAGCGGGTCGTTGCATGGGCCAGGATTCATCCAGTCCCCATCCGGTCCAGATCCGACTCCGACTCCGCCTCCGACTCCGGCTGTACTAACTTTGGGGCGCTCGCGTGCGCCCTCCACCCTCCCTCCCTTGACGGTTGGCTCAATGTTGAAGCCGTCCGTTTTAGTGTGCCTTCTAGTCGTCCTGCAAAAGCGGAGCTGCTGGGCGGCATGGATTGTCATTGGTCTGCCTTCTGACTGGCACGCTGCCAAAGGTGCCTGTCTGGTGGACAATATCTAGAGTCCGTCGTTGCTGGTGTCACCCGGGCTTGAACCCTGGTCTTTGTTGGGTTACAGAAAACAATCGGTCGAGTGTCGAGGGTGGGGAGGAGGAAGAAAGTTCATGCCGTCATCGTTGGGGTTTTGACATATTCAGACAGGTGGCCTTGATATTGGTTGATACACCCCAGCTTGGCGCTCAAACATCACAGACTAGTTCCATTTGTTCCAGGTCACGCTAGCGGTAAAACGTTGTTGGCTGATCTGCAATGGGCCAGCCTGGGGAGGTTGTAAACGTGGGAGTAAGGGGAAAAAAAAAAAGGCTATGGTCATCATCGTACGTAGTATTGTTATCATCACAGCTGCTTGTGTCTTGTCATGAAATGGCCCCGGACCCATTCCTGGTGCCATCATTTAGTTAGTCCATTACGGCCTGGTTCCATTGCATCCTCCGAACGAAATGAGTGGGAGCTTCCGGTGATAAGATCGACCGTTGTGATTTTGGGGCTTGAAAATCGCCCTGCCAACCAGATTCATTGCCCACTAGTGCCTTCCCCTCCATCATCTTAGCGAGCAGAGGCGACAATGTAAAGTCTCGGCTAATTGACTGGGTACTATTGAGTGTGGTGATTCTTGGAATGGAGATCCCGTCGAGTACAGTAGATCATGGAGATAAAACATCCCGAAAGGGCCAAAAAATACATAACAGCGCGTACTGTCGAAGTACCAAACACAAAACAAAGAAACAAAGACAGAAGCAGCAAGGGTTTCGAGTGACACCAATTCAAGGTCTGCGGTGAAGCTTCAGGCACTCAAAATAGACGCCACATTCTTTCATGTTCCATGTGTGGAAGGCAGTTTGACATGCTGCAGAAAGGTGTGGGTGACAAGGAAGGGATGGATCTGGCTGGTGGAATTGGAAAAGTACCTCAACTCCGGGGTGACTGACTCGTCCAGCCAGCTCACTGGCCATGGCGATTACTTAAAAGGGGATCATATCAGACAACGCATGGAGGGCGATCGACATACAGCGCTTGGCAGGCAAGGGCAGAAAGAGAGAGACAAAAGGCCAGGCAGATCATACATAAGAGACCACTGTACATGCGACTTACGTAGTGCTTTAGTGCTGCTGCTATTCGCGGATGCTGCACATTGTCCACATGTACCTTGATGCGCATGTCGGCTGGTCACATTCCACCGGAGCGGGGGGACTACATGCTGCGTGCAGGCCTCCTCCTCCAAAAGAACAAAACCAAGTATTGAGTGTCTGATAATTGGTGCCTCCCTGCATCTAAAGAGAATTGGTGTATGGGTGTGGTCGCTCTTTGGCTACAGGCGGCCAAAACCCATGCTGCAGTGGCTGTTATCATGCTGTCTGACTTCACCACCCATAACCTGACTTCCCCCTTCTGGTAGTTTCCAGGATGAGGTCCTCCGAGGCGCACTGGGGACACCCCATGGACGCTTGGCGTCGTGTGGCTGAACCAGTCTCAACCGTCGCATGTCCAGAACCCCCCTCTCTAGCGGCGATCATTCCACCATGGTTGCCATGTGTCGGGCGCTGGAAAGCCAAACGAGTTGCGCGTTAGGCCTTATTGGGCATTAGACTTAGACTTTGCGCTGACACTGAGCGCGAACAGAAATATGATATGACTCTGAACTGTGACGAAATATCCATATCTTGTTGTATCTTATTGTATATTGAATTTGCTGCTGCCCTTGCTTCGATTACCTTTTATATCCATCCATCAATACCATAACTAGTTTTGGTAAAAATCAAACCATGTGGTTGGGTGTCGGGCAGGTACGGAGTATTGTTAGCCATTACCGACAACCACACTCCCCCAGCTAAGTACTAATACCATGTTCCAAACAGCCGCTGCAGCCACTCAGATTTGTGCACCAAGTATCTGTTGCCTACGGAGCTTGGATGACTGTCCCAATGCTTTCTCCCATGGTGACATAGCACTCCGCGGAGCTCTGTTGAAAGGGAGTCTACAGCAGACCCATGCACCTGGCTACTCGAGCTCAGGACCTCCTCACCTGTGGGTAGGCAGTGGATAAAACGAGCATAGATTCTGTCGCATTTGCCGCCCTCTCCCTAATCCCAGGCTGGATCATTGTCTGCAAGGAGGACGATGCAAGCAAAAGGCTAAGTGTCAACTGCTCTGGCGCGAACGGAATGGTCCCGTAGGTAGACGGAGCCTTCACTCGAGGCCCAATACGGTACGCTTACGCCGCTTACGGCAGTTCGCCGGTCGTGGGACCCCTGAGGCCGATCGTCCAGTGCAGCCACGTGAAGGCAGTTCGCATCGAGATCGTTGCCGACCGAGGATGGTCTCTGCTTCGCTAAAAGATCAGGCGGGCGATGTGGATGCACCACCTGTCTTTCGTGATATGGCCCATCCAGTACGCCATTGCCATCTGTCCCCCGTCAAGCTTGAATCCTTATTGTCGGATGCGAACGGATATGCGGTCTTTAAAAGTTGCAGGCTCAAAAAGTCCTACAGGATGCTAAACACCCGGTGGGCAGATTCATATGATGTTGGAGAGGATAGTAAAGGCGAGTCAGGTGAAAACCATGAAAACTGACGGAGCTTATCCGATTCCAAAGACACAGACCCGGCTGCTGAATCCAGTTTAGACTGAGTATTTGGAGTAACCGGCCGTTTGAGCCTGAATAATAAACGTACATTTTTATTCAGATTATCCTTCCTGAAGAATTTTCATTTCTCTTTTCGAGATGCGAGCCATGACAAGGCCATGCGACCGTCGGTGATGACGGGCGTTGATTGCAATGATGCAGAGACTCTGGTTCGTGATGTAATCGCCAGCTGCAAACTCATTGCTCCGAAAGCCCCCCTGGTACTGTGTTATTATCCCTGGCATGATAGCGGCCCCTTCCCCCCCCCGCGGATTGCCTGGGACAGGCGTTCAACAACGTGTTCTCCCGTCATGGTTCGAGTAAGTAACTAAGGCCGGGAATTCTTCAGCCCACGGGACATTTTGCAGGCGTGGAGGGTGCATTTGCCATGCCAGCGGCCCCGACGCTGATTCGTCCACCCACGCTGGGATCGACTCCCCATTCATTCTGGGCCCCACTTCCCGGCTGGTCTGAGCTACGATTTCCCCCAACCTGGCTTAGCTTAGCGCCCAAAGGGGTAGATAGAGAGCAGTTTGGAGCAGTTTGTCCCTGTTGGGCCATCTCGTCTCAGTAGATACTATGAGGAGTAGTCTAGTTACCAACAGGCAGACACAAAGTTTTCCCGCTGGATGGGAAAGTTATGGATCCCTTTGCCTAGGCGCTCCTGCTTGACTCGACCAGTGGGGCGGCCGATGACAAGTCTTGTTTCTTCGTCATGAAGGTATCCAAGTAATGAAAGAAAAAGGGCTTGCACCTTAGAGAAAGGCTTCCAGGCTCCCAAGGTCATCAACTGAATCCAGTTTCTTTCCGACGCCTGATGAATATATTTCGAAGAAGGAGACTTTACTCCCAAGATATCTCACGGGACTGGTGAGAAGATAAATTGGGGGCGTCTGAGAGGTGTGAGGCAACCTCGGTCCCGATCTGCGTCAACATTGCCCCAGTTAGGTTCAACGATGATTACCCAACCCGGACAAGACTGATTCGAGCTTTTCTTCGCGGATACGATCCAGGATCCAAAGTCGAACGACGGATCTCTGCTCGTTTCCGGGAGATGTCCAAGTCCGATCATGGATGACCGACATAGGTACGCACCACAAAGTCCCCATTGGCGTGATTTGCCAGACAATATCGTATACGTATTATGAGCCAGGGCTCGATGGAAGCGACCGGTTGATAAGCTGCAATATCGATACCCGGACATGGGTGGAAGGGTGGACACCAGGCGCCATTAGGACCAATAATTCCCTGCGATGGCCGGGGAACTGTCAAACGTGGCTCTGATCCGGCCGACAAAAGGGAAAGAGAAGCAGATTCCTTCTTCTCGACTCCAGCAGAGCTATCCGATGCGCTAAATCGCTAGTGGAGGACTAAGCAACTTCAAGTTTGGTACCTGACATTTACACTGCTCGCTAGCCGACTGAGAATATGACTGGGCTGGACCTTCGTTGTCAGAGTTTTGGAAGACAGGAAAAAAAAAGCCATGTTGGAAAGTCTGATGATAATAATCGACCATTCTTCGGCCGCCTCCTAAAAATGTGGCAGAACTGTAACCCACGGAATGAGGAGCAGCTGGACCCTCAGAAATGGCCGCCTCGTGGCGGTGGACTTGATCGCTCTAGGATGTCGTATTAACTATTTTTATTTTAGTTGAATTTACTTGGTGGCTGTAAGAGTATGACTAATTTGTTCCCCTTCCTTTCTTGTCAATTTATTTTATTCCAATTTACTTGAAATAATATTTTCTGTTTTACTTTTTTATTTCCCTTTTCTATTTCCCTTTTTTATTTTTATTTTTTTTTATTCAAATGCTTGGCTGCTTTCCGGGCGGGCTCCCCTTCTATGACCTATGTTATACGGCTTTCCTCTCTTTTTGTCCCCGAACTTGCGGTGCGCCTCTGAGGCTATCTGTCATATGGAAAATTGAATAGTCTGTACTATGTTTGAGCCACGGAGAAAATGGTCGTCTTTAGTGGCTGATCCTGTTGGGATGGCTTCAATTCCTGTCCAATTGCTGGCAGCCACTGCTGACCACGTACGGTTCAAGTAGTACGCAGCGCCAAGCGACCTTTTATCGCTCCATGTCTCTTTTCTTACTCCGTACTTTCATACAGGACTGTACTTGTCATGTTTCTGATACCCATCGAGGAATTTTGCTCTCGTATAGAAGTAGTTGTCTCATGTGGCTGAGGGGGAAGAGCGAAACAGACCAGACTGGAAGTTATCGTCATTTACTTAAGTACAGCCAGCCATGAATCGTATGCTACAATGATGTACACTGAAAGTGAAATTAGTGTAGATAGGCATTCAGCATAAGAAAATCGAAGTAATTATGTGGAGGGGAATTCTCGGATGCAAGTGTTAATCAACATTGATAGCTTGATTGCCCTTTTCTCCTACTCATACTACCAGCGAAACTGAAAGAAGGACGGAAGGGATGAAAGTCGGCGGCGGCACCACTTTGTTCTTAACCTTCTTATTTTATGTTATTTTATTTTATTTTATTCCTTTACATTTTTCTTTTCGGGAAGGGGGATAAAATAATAAATAAATTCAATTTTCGTTTCCCCTTTCTGGATTGTCCTTCAGTCGCCGAGTCTCACCTCGATATTTGCTTTACATGAGAATTATCAATATTTTTTATTTTCTCTTCCAGCCCTTATTTTAAATTCTATTTTGGCGTTAGGTAAACCGCATCTGTCACTCGATCTCGTCATTTTCTATTTGCTTGTTATGCTGCATCGGTACCTTTGCCTTGCGCTTCAGGGCCGCTCCGTACTATTACTTACAGACTGCTTGTTCTTTTACTCAGTTCTGACCCTTTTACCCCAAGGCGAGGAGGGAACATCTTCAACCAAGAGGTAGTGCTTATTCTTCTAATTTTTCCCTCTTCCCCTCTTTTTGAAAGCCTTGAATTCCCCTGGTCCATCCCATTATCGGCCTTTTTCACCGTCAAAATCCGAACTGATCTCAACATCTGACTTGATCCCATTTTCGTTCTATCTCTCTTTCTTATCCTTTCTTAGAAGAAAAAGACATATTCTCTTTTATTTTAAATTCTCTTTCGGGTCTCTTCGTCCAGACCCGCCCAAACTTTCTCCAAACTAGTCCGAATAGCTCCCGCAACTAAGAGGAGAGTTCCCATCTCCCCTAGCATTTTCCCGCCCGATCCATCGAACTTCCAAAACGACGAGACACCAGTGCCACAGTCTGGTTCCTGTGAACTAACTAGACGAGAAGAGACGGCCTCGACGGGCCACTTCTACTACTATTATTATTACTGCTTTCACCTATCTGGTGTTAGTTGAGGGGGGGAAAGCAGAAAGAGCTTGCAGTTTACTGATTTTCTGACGGGCTGGCTTACTTTTGACTGCTACTACTTACTACTTTTTTTCCCTTTACTACTACTACTACTACTACTACTACTG